CGGCACGTCAAGAGCAAAAATTCTCTGGTGATATCAACAACTTCGTTAACCAACGGGTGGATATCCTCGCCTCCTAAGTTTGGATACCCGTAAAGTCCGTTGAACACTATCGGGGTGATTCCGTGGAAAAAAAAACAGAGCAGCACCAGTTGATTATAAAATCGATTTCTCTCGATATCGCTTTGCGTGCAGAATCGATGTGCTCCAACGCGGTCATCAATTTGTCTATGACAATGCTACCTTTTCAACAGCTATCTCCCAAGTTTGCCCGTACAATCACGTGCGAATCCGTGGTTGTTCGTTTGCATTGTGTGACACTCGTCCATAGCTGCGAGCGTCGACGAGACCATCCAATTGAATTTCACGCCGTAAGCGCATCCCAACATCGGAGAGACCATCCGCAGCCTATCCACTACATCAAGTGTAGGATCCATACACCATATCCTACATAGAGGCATCCGATTATTTACACTGCCGAACTCATCGAACCACATCCATTGCCAATGCCGTACTTGTTGAACGCGAACGAGCAAATCGCTCGGAGATTCTGGCGGATTTCCACATACTTGGGATGAGAATGCCAAAACAATAGGAATTATTAACTTAATCATTGCAACGTTTCTCGTCTTAAAACTTTTAGACTTAACAAGTGTACTCGAACGAACAAACGCAGTCTATACAAAAAATAAAAATGTCTATATATGTCTGTTTTGTCGCGTAAGCATGCCGCAAAAATCGAAATTGCCAACTTAATCGATACGATTTTTTTCATCCTGAATCATTTAGACCCGAGAATTTTATGCAAACCAAAAAAAAATTTTATGAAAAAATCAGAATGTTTAATATTTTGTTCGACGAAGCAGACAACTGTTTTCGCATAAACCGACTGACGAACAATGCACCCATTGTTTGCCTTGAGCATATGCAAAATAAGTGTCTATATTAACGCAATACAGGGTGATTCATTATGGGTAAGACACTATAGTTTTTCTCCGAAAATATTAATATTTCGAATTTTATTTTTTTTAGATACACTTTGTACTATATTTTTCAACACTTTGAACATTTTTATCTCCCGTCTTTGTACGATAAAAAGGGCTCAAGTTCACTTTTTCGAATGACAACGTATGTTTTTAATTCCATAAATTTGTAGGCAAAAAATTTAAAAATACCTATGTTATCGTTTGAATTTTTAATTTGCATCCATTTGTATGTTAGCTATGACTTTGTAAAGATATTACATTTTCTCCTAAATATTGTCGTATTTCTTCGGTGTCCCAAAGACCGGTAGTCCGTAAAATTCTTATTTATGCTCGCATTGTCCGATAGGCGAGTACACCGATAACCAAACACAACAAAATGTTTTGTGATAATGGTTGACCAGTGGATCTTATCTAATAAATTATTATTTTATGCGATGACTGGTGTAATAAAACTACTTGTCTTTGTTGATCCGAATGAAAATATACATAGACAAAAATTTAAGTCTTAACAAAGTCATAACAAGCAAACAAATGGATAAAAATTAAAAATTCAAATAATAACATTTTTTTTTAAATTTGTTTCTATATATTTATGGAATTTAAAACATATATTGCATTTTGAATAAGTGATGTCCTACCCTTTTTCTTTTTGTATAAGGGTTGGAGATACTAATTTTTACAGTATTAAAAAATGTAGTGCAATGTGTACCTAAAAGTATAGGAATTTTTTTTTTTTTTAATGTTCTTATTTTCCGAAAAATTAGTGTCTTACCCGAAATGAATCAACCTGTAAATTATTAAAAACGTCAATTTTTATGATTAAAAATCCGACTTAAAAGTAACGAGTACAAACGTATGAAATGTAATATGTTTTACCCAAAGCAATTTTATTACACAATTATTTAGTAGCGCTAGGTCGGCACAAAGCGTTGATAAACGCTATTAAAGCTGAATGCTTCAATACCACTTTTTATGGATTTTGCCGTTGCCATTTTATTATTAACTATTGGCGCAACTTTTGTACTGGGATGGTTTGTGCACAGTGTCTGATTTTAACTTTTGTGTTTGTTTATAGGCTCAACCATTTATGGGCCTTTTTGGGCAATGCGCCAATTTTTTATCAGTATTTCAACAATCAAATAAATAGTTTATTATAGTTGGTAAACGCAAAATAATATAATATTAGTACACAAAAACAATACAATTCACCATAAAAAGCTCCTTAGATTTTCATGCAAATTCTAAAGTACATGTCTTGTAATAATAATTTTCTTATTTTTGTTTTTGTATAAACATTAATATAAAGCGAACAAACGACTTGGTTAATAGGTAATAGCTTAAGAAAGAGTTAACTGTACAAAGTGGAATACACTGCACAGTTAACTGATGAAAATACACACACAGGCTTAACCATGAACTAATATATTTATTCATTTGTAGTATTTCCCAGATAAAAAAAAATATAAAGAAACATAAAGACAAACAACAACAACAAGAAACAATTCACTTTGCTTAGATTTTTTTTATAAGCAAAATATAAATAATTTTTACATATTTAATTCGAATTATTTTACTTCTATACTATTACTATACTATTTTACTGCGCCTTCTACGTCTCAGCCTCTGTTTATTTTCTGAGTCAAGATTTTTAAACCTCTTCGTAAAATCTATTTTCAAAGCCCTCAGTATGGTAAGTTATTGTGTCTTTTTTGTTTTTATATTACTGTTTTTTTGCTGTTATTCATTTATAATATTATAATTTGGTATCCGACATTATTAAGTGTAATAAGCTTTATTTTCGTAAATTTATTGAAATTTATTCGTAAAATGTAAATAAAAAATTAATTCAAAAACCGACTGAAACTATTTTTCTCTCGGTGATGGCCACGGGAAGAATAATTGCCGGGAAGGTCACAAAAATAATAAGTTATGGGGAAAAAAAATAAGAGAAAAGGGTGAATAAATGAATTACCAAATTATACGATGTGCGGTTTTATTCAATTTTATCACTTTAATTTATAATAATTCTTGTAGACCTGTGACCTCTCCGTTTCCTCATTGCTTTGATTACATTATGCCAATACTCTACTGTACTAGTCCTCTCGGATAAAATCACTTTCAAATTAACGCTTTGATGCTCATTTGTAAATGCAGAACCTTCATTTAAAACTTTCTAACTTTGCTGGTTTATACTGTGCTTGGTTTGGACTGTACTGGCTTGAAAATACTAACTACCGATTTGCATCGAAGCGTTTTTTCGAAAGTGATTTTATCACTTTCAGATTTAAAAATGCCTGTAAACCTGTGACCTCCCCATCACCACTATGCCCAACCCAACTATGCTCCGTCCAAAACGTAGTGGACCAAATAACACATATACAATGTCTTGTTAAATTTTGTTGGAAATATTACTAACGTTTATAGCCACTAGCGGTCGGCTGTTGCCTGTTACTTAACAATAACCTTTTATGGAGATTTTAAAAATGTGTTTTTTAATAATAGTATAGGAGCAGTATCAAAGTGTTAAATGTTCACGAGATTTGATCTAGTCATAAAATAAAGTACTACCATTCATGACTTTTAAAGACTGTTAAAATATATTTAACTTGAACACAGTAATAAAATACTGAAATATTTTATACTAAATTAGAGCTACAAGTTGATAAACTAAAAAATTAAAATTAGCACGAAGCAGATTATCTAATATTAGACAATTTAAACAATCAAGCGTGAATCTCTTTAAATGAATAACAGTATAACAATATGCAAAACATAAGTTTTACTTTAAAAAAATTGTGTAACAAAAAATACATTTTGAGGCGGTATACTGCATAATATTATGATACCAATCATTGGGCCCTAACCTAATCTAACACGGACAGACGTTACCAACTGATGGTTTTTAGTGTCTGTTCGTTTCTCCCATCTGGTACACCGGGTTTTTAGTTAAAAAAAACAAAAAATTGAACTTTGTGTAAACTTAAAGTCAAAAGTGTTACTTGAGCACAAAACTTAATAGTATCATTCTGCATAGATCTACATAAAATTGTTTTAATGATTTGATAACAATTTTTTTTAAGATTTTAAGTGTTTTTTTGTTAAAATATACGCAATCTGCGAAAACACAGTTTTCCGGCAATTAAAAAAAAACTGTAGTGCCGAATTTTTTTTCCGTTTAACAAGTTATGGATGCATATGAGTTCCAACTACTGGCAAATTTTCAACCCAAAGGTCTTAAAATTACGGCTAAAAACCCCGAAAAACAAAAAAACTTGTACCCCCCCTAGGGGGATGGGCATTGGGTTGAATTTAAATTTGATACAACTGACGTGCGCGGGCATACCAAATAAATATTTCTTATAAATTTCAACTCGATCCGACTCTTTTTCTCGAAGCTATAGCCAGTAAAAGTTCTAACTTAAAAACTCGTACGTTTTTTTTTTTGTTTTTTCAACTTTTGTCAGTGAAGAATCAAACTTTTTCAACTTTTACCCCCCCCAAAGTACCAACTAGATGAAAATTGCGATTCATAGAGTTGCTATTCGAAAAAATTGGTCCGGTATTAAAGAAGTTACAGTGTATACAGATAAAAAAAAAACACACATCAGAGTAAAACAGAGCTAAAATACACTATAACTTACCGTACCGAAGGCTTTGAAAATAGACGAGTTAGAATAGAACTTGACTTTGAAAATAGACAGACGAAGGCTGAGGTGTAGAAGGCGCAGTATGGTAGTGTAGTAATTGCGAAACAAAATATAATTGGAATTAAATAAGTGTAAATTATTTATATTTTACATAAAAAAAAAAAAATAATTTTTAGTAAAAAAAAAATTATTAATGTTTATTGTTATTAAGCAAGGCTTCCTAGTTCCCATCGCGGGTGGTTTTAATATAATACCGTAATTAATAATAATATTGCCATTGTTAGTTTGTCTATACATTCGAATTTTTTCATTTTAAATCCGGAAAAAACTAAAAATTAATATTTATTAGTCTGTATCACAATTGGTTGAGCCTCTGTGTCTGTTTTCATCAGTTATGTAGCGAGCACTGTGCAGTATTCCACTTTATACAGTACAACTCTTTCTTAAGCTAACTTAAGCTTAACTTAGTAGTTTATTCACGTTATGTTAATGTCAATACAAAAAGAAACATCAATGAAATTATAATCGTAAGACATGTACTAGAATTTGTTTAAAAAACACTGGGATTTTTTATTTCTTTGCTGTGTAAATATAGTAGAAAATCCTGTAAGTATTTATTATATCTTAATGAAAATGTTGTGTTCGCATTGCTGTTAATTTTTTTTTAACTCACTCACTTAACAAAATTAATAACTTTTTATGTTTATAGCCATCAATACCATAAATATACTAGGTACATTAAAGTTACAGAACTATATAGTTGAATACTGTATAATATAGATAGGTATTATTTTATTGTTTAGTGTTAAGTAGCAATCGAATTGTATAAATATTTTTTTTTCACGACCAAATCGTTTGAAAAATTTCTATAAAAAAAAATAATACTTAAATTGCAAATTTTAACTTTGTTCACAAGAATTATTTGACGTCGTACGTAGGTGTATTACATAATATGTAAATACTTGCAGTTAATAATGCAGTTATTTCAATTTGCACGCGCGACCATTATCGAAATTAATATTAATCATAACTGTAAACAGTAATCAAGGTGGTTTTTGGCGGTACTTACAGCCTCAACTCGGTCGATTCGGTTTAAAATGACTTTGGAGAAAATTGCAAGCTCTCGACAGCCACCAACGGTTTTCGTTCGTTGTGTGGTCCACGGTGTTATTAGTTTTGCATATGTGTACACATTTTACACAGGCGTAGCAGTAGACTTTTCTGTCATCAATTTGCCGACAATCAACAAACTTGAAATATATATGAAATACATGCTCACACTATGGACACTGGTATGTATTTTTAAATTAACCCATTTATTTTTATTGCTTACCCAAAAAATTCTACTATTAATTTTTTTTTTTTGACTTGTTTATTTTTCCAATTTTGCAACACACCGTTTAATTATGTCCGTTCATAAACAGTGAACTCCTCTTCATTGTTCATTGCTTATTTAAAAGATTCTCTCTAAAATACAAACAAAAAAAAAAACGGTAAAGGAGATTATTTGATGGACTGTCTATTAACTGTACCTTTTGAGATTTGACATTTTGTGAGTAACTTTCCACGCACAACCTTAAAATGTCTATTCGTTTAATTAGTTTTAACATGTTTGGCCCTTCCAAAGTTAAGGCTTTTGTGTTTCAGGCTGTTACTCGATTGATGTGCATGAAATAAATGAACTAAACAATTTTGGATTGAACAGAAAATCATACTTTTTGATTTCGCCTGCTCTAAAAGAGTAGATGGCCATAATTTCTCAAAACTTTAAACCTGCCAAGCCCTAAGTATCAATTGGATACTAAAGTACAAATTTTACTTATGTGCTATTGTTCTCTAAAAATTACAGGACTCTTTGCGGCTCAATTTTGAATATCTTGTCTTTGCCATTTATTTTTTATATGTATTTGCAACAAACTTAATGAAAAAATAATTTGTCCCTGTTTTTTCGATAAAGCACTCACTCGATACTTTATTTTCTTCATTAAATATATATTCTATTTTGCATACTAATTGCTTATGATATATTTTTTTCAGTTTATGGTAACGGGATTTTTCATCATAACTACATTATTGGATTTCTTCGAAATATTACCACAACCAGCGTTCATTAAAAAATTACTCTACAAATGTCGAGAGATAATTAATTTACTGTTCATGTCTATCGTATTGCCGATAGCAATGGTAAATATTTTAACAACTATTATTATACCAATCATTACAATAATTAATGGGCACGGCGAATAAAGAAAAAATGTATCAAATATTGTCAATAATAAGATTGCAATACTTCATTGGTTGATGCTTTAATCAAATGTGAGAAATTCGTAAAAAATGCGATGACTATAGAAATGTTTAGTGAAAATAATAAACGTTAAAATTATGTATCAACACAAATGTTTATTGACAACAAAAAAAACAGAAAATTTATATTATAATATTTAGAAAAATAAATTTTGAAATACCGAATTTAATAAATTCTAAGCTCATACATAAAAACTTTTTTAGAACAGCCTTTTGCATGAACACCCCTAAAATAAGCACTAACTCGATAAACATTGCACAGATGTGCAATTTACACATATTGGAAACAAGAGATTCATAAATTTTATGTTAGAGGACATTAAAGTATATTTTTAAATATAATCTAATGGTATGAAATTAATATTTACCGAGCTTAGTTTTTAATATAATGAGCTTCCTTTTTCGTAATCTATTATTTCACCCTAAAGAGTAAAAGTTAATTGTTGATATCTTATATTTTAATAATTAGTTTCGAATTGTTTTAATCAGATAAATACTTATTTTACTTATCCTTGATTAATACTGAGGAATAATACTAACGATATAAGATGATACAACATTTATCAACTTAAAAATCTCATAAACTGTACAACATATATACATTATAACGTTTACACAGTGTTAATAGCATACAAATGTACAAACATTTTAGCTTTCAGCAAGTCTGTGGACCAGAAATCGTATTTAAAAGGTATTCTATTGAACTAAATATAATAAAAATTTTCTATTAAATAATTGAAAAAAAAGCAAGTCACTTCCAAATTTGTGTGGGACAGTCTTTAGACGTAGCAAAACAAATATACGGTGAAAAACAAGGGAAATAACGCTAACCCTTACTATAAGATGTAATGAAAACATTTTCTTTATTTAGGTCTTTGAACTTTGCCTCTGAAAACATGTACAATTTTCACAAAAATCTGTGTTCAAGCTTTATTTTTTTTCATGAACCCCCCCCCCCCCAAAGGGTAATAACTACACTCAGGCCTTAATAAATTTCTAGTTTGAGATGTGTTTGGAATTACCAGACATATGTGGTATGTGGGAAACGGTTTCAAAATAATGTTGACGCTGCTAATTGGTAACACATGTAATGAATTATTAGGAAAGATAGACAATGTCTGACAATCAACCCTAATCTAACCCACACTAATATTAAAATTATAACATTAAGCTCATTATTACCTTTGAAACGTTTTTATCGATATTTAATGATTACACCATCATTGCAGATGAGCGATTTTGTCACTTTCGGTTTTAATAATGTGTTTGCCCCCACTACGACCTCTTTGTGCTGGTTTTAGTATTAGTGTTTCACATTATTTGATCTAATTTGTTTAACCTTGAATAAGCTGCACTAAAAAAAAAAAAAAAAAACAATAATAATATAGATTTTAATTTATATTGTAACGTAGTTTTTTTAGTTTTTTAATTAAAATTAATTTACATACATAATTTTTACTTAAAAACTTATTATGTAACTAACCGAGTAGATAATACAGTAAAGAAATTTTAAATTACAATCAGCATTGAAGCTAACAAAGTAACCCAATATAACTATATTCTATTAGTAAACAATGATATATCCATTGGTAAAATGGTAGAATTACATGTTTTAAAACACCTATGTATAGTATAAATATTTCAATATATCATATTATAATATAATAAATTATTTATTTTAAACCAGCGGTCGTTTAAAACCTATCTGATTTCCTCTAACGACCAATTTTAAATATTTTTATAAATTTATATAATATCATTACATGTTTGTTACAGTGTGTAAGTTCTGGATTTTGGTCGGCTTGGATGTTAAACAGCAAAAATATCTACCCAGAAGAAATGAATAACTATGTTCCAGCTTGGATAAATCACATGGCTCACACTATGCCGATCTTTATTTGTTTATTTGAACTATTATTTAGTTTCCATAAAACTCCAAAATTAAAACATAGTCTTGTGTGTCTGTTGTCATTTAATACAATGTACATGCTAACGTAAGTGCTTAAACGATTAAGTAAAAATACACATTTTTTTTCGACTAGAAGAAAATTTTTAATTTTATATCTTAAGATAACAGTATTTCGGCTACACGGAACAGTTTTAATTTTCAAAATATCTAAATCTACTAAATAGATATAGAGCTTGACTGTCACTCACCAGACAACCATGTCATAAAAATAATCACATTCTGCTACACTTATACAGGGTGTTCCAGCATGAAAGGTAAGTAATAGGCGATTGGACATCTGGGACACCCCCAAATAAGCCCCCCGTTTTATTTTTCGATAAGTCAAAAATGAAGGTTTCGACAGTTAAGTAAAAAAATAATGACCTAAAAAACAAAAAATTATTCCCTGTTATTCAGTGCAAAAAGCTCACCTTAAAAGAGGGGTCACATCATTTTCAGTCCCTTTCGGCCCCTAACTCAAAAAATGATAAGAGAAAAATGATTAGAGACCAGAAATAAATGATAAGTGATAAAAGATAAATGCTAAGACATAATTGATAAGAGATAAAAGAAAAGAAATAATTGGTAAGAGATAAATTATGAGAGATAAGTGCTAAATGATAAGAGTTTGGAGATAAATAATTAGAAACAAGAGATAAGAAATAAGATTATAGTGATAAGAGATAAATGGTTAGAGACTAGAGGTAAGAAAAAAAATGATAAGATAAGTGATAAGAGAAGAGTTAGGGGCCGAAAGGGACTGAAAATGATGTGACCCCTCTTTTAAGGTGAGCTTTTTGCACAGAATAACAGGGAATAGTTTTTTTTTTGAAGTCATTATTTTTTTAATTAACTGTCGATATCTTCAATTTTTGACTTACCGAAAAAATGAAAACGGGGGGCTTATTTGGGGGTGTCCCAGATGTCCAATCACCTATTACTAACCTTTCATGCTGGAACACCCTGTATAATGTGAAATAAGTTCTCTGACAATATTATCCCACTGTATCTTGTGTATGTTTAACATCATAATATGCCAAAGATCAGTCTAGAGAAAACCTAATAATATGTATATTGTGATACCATTGTAATATTTTAACTAAACTTGTTTAGGCTGCTTAATACATTCAAATTTTCTTTGAAATTTAATTTGAATTAACACTTTTTTATACAGGTTAGTCACATTACGAATTCGAGATGGGAGATGGATTTATTTTATAATCGATATATATGTCAATACAATATTCAAAGTTATTATAATGTTCTCCTTCCTTAGTTACATTATTCCTGTGATGTATTTAATTGGCTGTCGTAAACTTAATAACAACTATTGGGGTAAGTGGAAAAAAATTGCATTCTTGGTCACATTAATATGTGATCACGTTACACAGTAATGATTTGAATATTTATCCATTTTCAGGTATTAAAAACCCTTCAGAAACCGTCAGTAAAAAGTAGCTAACGTGAAACTAAAACAGAAAGCAATAATGAATTCTAAGAAACGTTTTATGGTGAATTGTATTGATTTGTAATATTTTAATTTGCGGTTTTTGTATTTGGATTATTAATAAAGTTTGATGACAAAAATACTTATCATATTTTTTTCAAACAATAAGGAAATTACATGTTATCATTACAATTATTAATATTATTCATTTTTATGTTATAATTTTGAGTTTTTTTTTTAATGTACTAATATTATATCTACTATTGTATTATTTTGTATTTATAAACTATAATAATACATTTATTTAGTCGTTGAACAACTGGTCAAAAATGTGTGCATTGTTCAAAAAGGCCCTTAAATGATTATGGGTGTTTGAACAAACACAAAATTTAAAAATCAGCATTGACACTATACATAAACCAGCCCAGTACAAAAGTTGCACTAATAGTATAAATTGACCATCTTAAAGATAATATTTTTTGAGTTGATTAATCCGTTTGAAAGCGAATTCTAAATTTATGGACATTTTTGCTTACAGAGAATTAGAGTTTAGAGATTACTTCGTTAATTATACTTCTGTAACAATAATCAGTTTCTGATATTCCACATTAATTTCATTGTGTATACTTAGTGTAATAACGCTAATCCACTATTGTCCTGGAAACGTGGATGGGTGGTATTATTTTTAACCGCAAGCACTTTCCATACTAAATTTTAAAGTCTTATTTGAACGACAGTTGATAACATTTCTAATGTTTCATACAACATCTTTGACCACAATGTACAACAAAAGGATTATTTATTCATTTTTTGGTCAGACTGACCTGAGATTATTAACTTTTTTCGATTAAAATGATCACCCTGTACTTTTATACCAACTACTGTAGTATTGTATTTCAGCCGTCTGCACTTTCAGTAACCCTCCCGACCTCCCTACATGCCCCGTCGACACTTTGTGCCGACCCAGCACTGCTAAATAAATTTCTAGCAACAACAGGTTGAGGAAAAACACATTACATTGCATACCAACTCGACGTTTTTCAATAATTTATTGTACCGATATAGACACCGAATTTGAATAATACGCTCAAAGCAAACAATCGGTGCGACGTCGGTCGGTTAGTTTGTGCAAAAAAAAACAATTGTCTACCGTTCTAATATCTTACACGTGCTGCGTTTGTTCGTTCGAGTAAAATTTTGTAAAAGTCTAAAAGTTTTAAGCCGAGAAACGTTGCAATGATTAAGTTAATAATTCCTATTGTTTTGGCGTTCTCATCCCAAGTGTGTGGAAATCCGCCAGAATCTCCGAGCGATTTGCTCGACCGTGTTCAACAGGTAAAACATTGGCACCGCATGTGGTTCGATGAGTTCGGCACGCAAGTAATCGGATGCTTTTAAGTAGAATATGGTCTATAAATCCTAAAGAACATGCAATAGACGGACTGCGAATGATGTCTCCGTTGATGGGTTGCGCTTATGGCGTGAAATTGAATTCGATTATCTTATTGACGGTCGCATCGATGGACGAATGCCACTCAATGCGGCAAAACGACGACGCCTTCGCCGGAGATTGTACGACCAAACTCGGTGATGCTATTCAAAAAAGTAGTGTTGTTATTAAAAAAATAATGACCGCGTTGGAGTACTTGGATTCTGTGATCCGCGACGGTATCGAGGAAGATCAATTTCACCAAAAACTGGGGCTGTGTCATTTATTTTTCTGCGGAATGGAGCCCAAAGTGCGCAACGGACTTGACACGTACCCTGTACTTGGAGGCGAGAATATCCACCTGTTGGTCGCTGATCTTGCTGAACAATTAGAAGGGTTTTTAGTTGACAATTGCCTACCTGACTTCACAGTGTCCCATCTGTTCGATCTGACGGCAATAAGTAATGAGTTGGACGCCGAACGTCACGCAAATGGTATCTACTTGTTGTACGTAGAGAAATTACATTCTTACATTGAGTACATCGACAAGCACTTCACCCAACTTCAGCTACCCTAGAGCCAACAAGCAGCCGATTCAGTCTTGCAGTAGCATAGTCAATGGAAATTGACGTACAATTTGTCTTATCTGTGTGTATTTTAGTAATTACAAAAATTTACTGTCTTAACATAAATAGTGTCATGTTTATAATTTCAATAAAATTCATTCATTTCTGCCATAAAAGCGTGTTATCTGTTTTACACAATTATAAAACCAAATTGTTAATAATTCATTTTTCTGATAAAAAAAAAAAGTATATTTCTATGACTTGTACAAACAAGCTATGATGTCGATTTTTTTTTTTAGCTTTCAACTTAGCTACAAAAAACAATATCGGCCAGTGAAATTGTTTTAAATTATTTCTAATTTAAAAAGTTTGTATAATTTATTATATGTATTTATTAATATATGCGTTCAGTTGAAGGTGCTAGAAAACTAAATCTACTGTAAAAATGTGGCATCAACTAAAATGTCTCCAAAGAAAATAAGTGTCTTATGTTAACGGTAAAAAGGATCATCCTGTATATTTGTTCAGCCCGGTTTTGGTGGGCTTTGACGATAACATTGGTGTTTTTAAGTTTTTTGGTTTTCATTACATATGTGGGCTCTTGCCATACATAGTAACAACAGTTTAAAATCAATTTTCCACTATAGGTGTTGCGAATATTACAATGTAGTTTTTAGAATTTTTTTATTTACTACTTACTTTCGCTACAATACAGCGATATCGGATTTTTATAATAATGGTATTATAATATGTACAATTGTATGTGCAAATTTTTTGTATAGACTTTTATAGAAATTTCTTACATCAGAATAAAATTATAGTTGCCCAAATTAGTGGCTGCATATCACGTCATATCAGTTCACCATCTTGATGGTTTTTTATTTTAATTAATTTAAATGTTTTTTATTATGTATTCTTTTTAAATATAACATTTTTGTGGTCTAAAACCTAATATCTAATTTTGGAAAACAAAAGGCCAGCACAGTGGGGTTCAAGCATATAAGTTAGATTAACTCTTAAAGAAAATTTATTTATTTTTTTAAAAAGTGGGCATGACCTCCGCTGCAAGCAAGTACATGGAAATATGGATATGTCTTAATAAACAAGTAATAGGACCCCCCTACTTTTTGGTACTTTCTAGCATCTAATAATTTATCTCTAATCACTTATCTCCTATCTCTTATCTCTAATCTCTTATACCCCTATTTAATTTTAATATTAATAACTTTAGGTATTTTTAAGCGTTTAAATGAAAATAAAACAAATGTAATTTATTTTCTATAGAGCCAACAAAAGATGGTTTTGTGGTCATCGCACCGATTGGGATAGGTTTATCCTAGATTCATAGAACTTGGTTATTCAGAAATTCAAAGAAGACTCAGACCATTGTAAATAGAATATCAAATACTTATTGACGGTAAAGGATCTTTGCAGAGTAAATAAGAAACGTTCGATTTTTATTACATTTATTAAACCGTCGAAATCATTAAATCTAACAATTATTTTCATAGTACCTGATAAAACATTGTGATAACAAAAAATTGTAATTACTCAAATACACGACCAAGACTATTATATCTATCCATTTTCGTTATCTATGTATGTTTCGGTACGACTTAATGAGCTGTTAGTCGTCAAGTAACTGAAGTTGGGTCAAGTGATCGTTGATGTAATCCATGTAAGAATGTAACTTCTCAACGTACAACAAGTAGATACCATTTGCGTGACGTTCGGCGACAAATTCATTATTACTTATTGCCGTAAGATCGAACAACGGGTAGTCAGGTCGACATGTCGAGATCAAAAATTCTCCTACGTTTCCAGCAAGATCATTAAACAACGGTTGGATGTTTACGCCTCCAAAGTTGGGGTACCCGTGAGGAAGTCCGTCAAAAAAACAATAAAGCAGCATGAGTTTATGGTAAAATCGATTTTCTCCAATATTGTCGTGGATTACGGAATTGATGTACCGCAATGCGGTTTTCAATTTTCCTATAACAATCCTACATTTTTTAATAGTTTTTCCTACTTCGTCCGTACAATCCCTTGCGAAAATGTTATTGTGTCGTCGCATTGTTTGACATTCACCAATTGCTGCGCCCGTCAATAAGACTATCCAATTCAATTTCACGCCGTAAGCGCATCCCAACAGTGGAGAGACCATCCGCAGTCTATCTACTGGATCAATTCCGCGATCCATACACCATATTCTGTTCAAAGGCATCCGATTACTTGCGATGCCGAACTCATCGAACCACATGCCGTCCCAATGCTGTACTTGTTGAACGCGGTCGAGCAAATCACTAGGAGATTCAAACGGATCTGCGCATACATTGGATAAGAATGTCAAAACGTAGGGAATTATCAACCTAATCGTTGCAACGTTTTTCATCTTAAGACTTAACAAGAGTACCCGAACGAACAAACTGTAGTCTATATAAAAAATCATAATGTCTATTCTATATTTTCGATTTGCGCCACGTAGTAGAAATCGGTTTTTCGCATAAATCGTCTGACGAACCCGTTGTTTGCTTTGAGTGTACGCAAATTTAGTGTATATACATTATATACGTATAATTTATTATGCTAACTTTTTAAATTAGAGATAAATTAAAACAATTTGACTGGCCGGTAATATTTTTTTTAGTTAAGTTTAAAGCTAAAAAATAAAATTGATATTATAACTCGTTTGTGCAAGTCATAGAAATATATATATTTTTTTTTCCACAGAAAAATGCGTTATTGGGAATTTGTTTTTATATTTGTGTAGAACAGCCAACACGCTTTGATGACAAAAACTAATGAATAATTTTATTGAAACTATAAACACGACACTATTTATATAAATACAATAAATATTTGTAACTACTAAAATACACGTCTAGGGCTATTTTACATAAATTTCCATTAGCTATGCTACTGCAAGACTGAATCGGCTGCTTATTAGCTCTTGGGCAGCCGAAGTTGGGTCAAGTGCTTGTCGATGTACTTAATGTAAGAGTGTAATTTCTCTACGTACAACAGGTAGATACCATTTGCGTGACGTTCGGCAACAAACTCATTCCTCGTTGCCGATAGATCGAAAAATTGGTAGACGGGTCGACACGTCGAGAGCAAAAATTCTGTTGAAATTTCAGCAAGTTCATCGATCAACGGGTGGATGTCCTCGCCTCCAAAAACAGGGTACCCGTACAGTCCGTTGAGCACTATGGGGGCTAGTCCGTCGAAAAAAAAATAAAGCAGCCCCAGTTGTCGGTAAAATCGATCTCCCTCGATACCGTCGCGGATCACAGAATCCAAGTACTCCAACGCGGTCATTATTTTTTTAATAACAACACTACATTTTTTAATAGCATCACCAAGTTTTTCCGTACAATCGCCGGCGAAGGCGTCGTCGTTTTGCCGCATTGAGTGGCATTCGTCCATCGATGCGACCGTCAATAAGATAGTCCAATTCAATTTCACGCCATAAGCGCAACCCATCATCGGAGACAGCATTCGCAGTCCGTCTATTGCATGTTCTTTAGGATTTATAGACCATATTCTACTTAAAAGCATCCGATTCCTTGCGATGCCGAACTCATCGAACCACATGCGGTGCCAATGTTGTACTTGTTGAACACGATCGAGCAAATCGCTCGGAGATTCTGGCGGATTTCCGCATACTTGGGATGAGAATGCCAAAACAATAGGAATTATTAACTTAATCATTGCAACGTTTCTCGTCTTACGACTTTTAGACTTAACAAGTGTACTCGAACGAACAAACGCAGTCTATACAAAAAATAAAAATGTCTATATCATTTTCGATTTGCGCCACGTAGTAGAAAACTGTTTTTCGCATAAACTGACTGATGCACATTGCACTTACATTGTTTGCTTAGAGCGTATGAAAATCTAGTGTCCATGTCAATACGATCAATTTATTATTAAAACGTCAAATTTTATAATTAAAAAAGTCTGTACAGTGTGACGGGGTATAGTGCATTTCGGGGAAGAGGATAAAATCACTTACAAACAAACGCTTTGATGATAACTTGCAATCAATGCACCTCACTCCAATAATTTCTTGCTGTGCTGGTTTATTCTGTTCTTGGTTGGATCTGTTCTGGTTTGAACATACAACCACTGAACTTGTACCAAGTACTTGTCTGTACAAGTCATAGAAATATTATTTTCAACATTGAAGTTAAATGTATGTAAGTCAACGCTTCGACATGATCTTTTTATGGCATCGTCTGAACTGGAACAATTAGATCTATTTTAGTCGATAACATTTTATTAGACTAGCTGTGATAAGAATTTAACTTGTATACTGTTTCAACTGGTCAGGCTAATTCTCCTTAAAATATGTACTTAAACGGTTGGGTGTATGCATTTGTGCATGTAATTGCTATGCACAAAAAATTGCATCCGAAATTATGACCAGTTCCTAAGGATTCGGGTGGTAAAATATCAACAAACTCGGTCATAAGTGATTTTAAATCAAATTCCGAATAATGCATTTTTTTGTGAAAAAAAAATATTTCTATGACTTGTACAAACAAGTTATAATATAAATTTTATTTTTTAGCTAAAAAAAAATTATACAAGCCAGTCAGATTGTTTTAATTTATTTCTAATTAAAAAAGTTAACAGAGTATATTATATGTATATAATGTATGCGTTCCAAGCAACCACTTAAGAATATTACTCTTCGTTATTCTTTCATTCTACTGGTTTATTTTGAATAGATAAGGTGGAACAGTATGAATACACTGTATGAACCAGCCCAGCAATCGCACACCTAACCTTAAGTACATTTCTTTGGGAAAATAAGCCTAACCAGTTGAAAAAGTATACAAGTTAAATTCTCATCACAGATGGTCTAATAAAATGTTATTGAAAAATGTCATACTTTCACCAAAATAGATCCAATTGTTACAGTTCAGACGATGCCATAACAAGATCATGTCGAATCGTTGACTTACATTTTACTTCAATGTTGAAAATAATGATGCTGCGGTTATATAAACTAAATACTTGGTTATATAAATAATATTTTATAAAGTTTTTTTTCAACACTTGAATTAGAAATTTTGTACCTCAAATTGGCAATAACATTTAGTTTAAATGTCATATTTGATGTACCATGATGAATCATTACTGCATTTTTTCAGGAACTCATACGTGTATTATTATGTTTTTTTTTTTTTTTATTAATCGCAACATGAAAATATGTGATTTGTATTTATTTCTTATTTTTATACATCTGCGCGGAACGAGTTGGGGGGGAGGGGGTTCTATGTACACTATAATAATATTGATGTAAAAAACAAAAAAATAGTAGGTAAGTATTAAAAATTCATAATATTCTAAAAAGTCGAAAATTAGGTAAACATAGAAAAATAAAAATAAAATATATAACATACGATGACGTTTTCTTTGAAAATTAAAAGTATTATAAATAAAAATATTTTCGAATATATATATATTATTAAACAACTATAAATATAAATAAAAAAAAATTTTAATATATTATATACACATTACACACATTCAAAAAAGAGCGGTCCTCCTTATCGGTTATCCTTATCTCCTTATCAATGGCGTCTTGGCGGCGGCTTGACCGGCTGTTTCTTTTGCCGTTCCAGGCACAACGGTATGTGCCTGGTGGCGGCGTTGTCGTTGAACTTGCGACCGCAGTGCGGGCAGGGCGTCAGGTCCGAAGTGTCCAGCGGAGGCGGAGGCGGAAGGTCTGACAGTTTACCGCCCTTGGCCAAGTGCTGTTGAGCCATCCTGGCGTTTCTTATGTTGGCCACGAACTCCTCGTGTTTCTGTCTCCAGCTGGTCTTCTTGTGCGCAGGCGCAGGCGGCGGCGGCGATGCCTGGGAAGCACACGGGGAAAACCCATTATTAAAACATACAATCCGGTTAGGTTTGGTTAGGTTAGGTTAGGTCTTGGATATGTCTTTGGACTTGCAAGTCGATACCAGGGTATTGATCACACAAGGTTAGATAGTTAGGTCGGCGAGAGGAGAGGAGATGAGGAGAAGAAAGCGATGATAAGAGAAAGCCAGAATCAGTGATAAGAGATTAGCGATATTCGGGCAGCTGATAAGAGTCGCGTCGTTTAAATAATTACTAATAAGTCAAACCTCATCTGCCAGGTCATCGTGACATCTCAGATATAGACAATAACTAGATTGTCGACTAGATAGTATGTTGGCAATAAAGTTTAGTGAAGCAAATTTTCCGCCATCTTGGCTGTGGGCTCAGGAAATTTTATCAATGTTTTATTATACATATGTTTACCAAAATGGCCGTTTGTTCGCTGTTATCACAAGTGGGCAATCTAGTTTATTAGCTGTGTCGTGACACAGTATTTTTAGTACATTATTCTCATTTTGAAAAATTAATAAAAAATGTATGCGTTACCGTTTAAGTTTCAAAAGATGCTATCAAAACAAAAACTAAGCTGGTAGGGAGAAAAACAAAAACAATTGTGAAAATTGAGATCACATTGTATAAATATATTATGAAGAAAAAAAATCTAAATTTCTTATTAAACCCTAGGTATGAGATATTGACTGGTTCACCGATAAAATGATCACTCTGTATATCTCGCTCCTCTCTCCTTTTACTTTCTATTGTCACGACACAGATTATAATTTATATTGCCCACTTGTGATAACAGCAAACAAACGGTCATCTTGGTCACAGGATTTGTATGTATAGATATTATATATATACAAACATTTTTGGTAAACATATGTATAACAAAACATTGATAAAATTCCCTGAGCCCATAACCAAAATGGTGGAAAATTTGCTTAGCTAAACTTTATTGCCAACATACTATCTAGTCGACAATCTAGTTATTATCTAATCTGAGAGTGTCACGATGACCTGACAGATAAGGTTAAACTAATAGTAAATATTTATACGACACGATGCTTATGAGCTGCCCCAATATCGCTGATCTCTTATCTCTGATCTTCTCTTTCTCTTATCATCACTTTTGTGTCCTCTCCTCTCACCGACCTAACAATCTAACCTTCTGTTGTCGCAATGACAATAGTTCCAGATAGACCCCCAGCCGAAAAACATATCCGTTATAACAGTAATACATATTGCTAGACAACCTGTTGAGTAGACAACCTGCAACCTACCATTAAGTAATACGATGTGTCAAAAAGATTATTTCTACTTGGCAAAAAAACAATGATAAACACTCTAATATACCTAGTACTTTTCTAGGATAGCGGTAGAACATAATAATAATATGCTAAATACCTACATTATTATGTTTAGAAAATAAAGTATCTGCTAAGAATGCCCATAGTTTTGAAAATCGCCACAAACTTAGATTACTTAGGTTACTTGTTAACTTGATAAGACTCCTCAAAGTGAGAAAACTAGGTTTTTCTATCTATACACTTTTATTCGACACCACATTTTTCTACAAAAAACAAAAGAATGGTTTATTAAAATTTACAGCAAAACTAATATTTCCTTAATAATAATTAACAAAGTGTAAGGATAAGTTTACTTTTTGTAATATAATCCTACTATAACTGTTCTGTATTGTGTTTTTCATAAAAAATTGCAACGAACAGCTTAAAAATTTCACTTCAAAGTCGGGAAAAACTGCCATAAATGAGTTATTTCACAATTACTAAAAATAATTGTCATTTTTTTTTGTCAAAATTAGTAACATTGTAAATAGTTCATTGTTATTTATAATTTTTTTTTCTTTATTTGAATCTTTATAACTAACAATTAATTTTAACGATTAGCAGTATAGAAAATGGTTATGAATAAAATTGTAAATTTGGAATTTGTAATATAAAAAACTCTATTTATTTTTACATTGAGTACTATTGTCTTATACTTTTTTTAATACATTTAAAGTCGTTAACTCTGCGATAAAAATAATAATAATTATTATTATTATTATTACTTGCAGCTATTACTAAAGGCAATCATATCATATAGTTTTTTAATAAACCATTGTAATATATAATATCAATATTTTTGTTACCAGTGGTGTCTTACAAAAAATGTTAACTACCCCTTGCACTTCGCTAATTATTTAAGACAATTTTAAAAGGATTTTTTTTTATAGAAGTTTTTAATAAAATTGTATAGATAGAAAAAAAACTAAAACTCTTTATACTTATAACGAGGAGTGTGAGCGGTGAGGAGTTTTAGTATGTTAATAATTACTCCAAGATGGATAGAGTTTTTAAAACTATGGGAATTTTTTCTGTTATAGAACGAACTTTGATACTTTTTTCTGGAACTTTACTTTTTCTTTGTAACATAGTAAAACATTAACAAGTATTTCTAAACAATCAGTAAAACCATACAGTGACAAAATATTGTTTCCGAATTCAACAATAACAAAAAATGATAACACTCCAATGGTTTTATTTGATGAAATATGTAAAATTAAATACAGAACGAGCAATGACACACAACACTACCAACCCCGATGCATTGTACCTACCTACCTATGGCTAGCTGTTATTTTACATGAAATAAATATGTGACAAGGCCACATACGGTTTCTATTTTATATACCATTATTGTCACCTGCCAAAGTGACTAACGAGACAGTACACCTTGAAAAAACCATTTAATAGACATACTTTATTGTTTAACGTCAAATCGTCTTCTCGAAACTACATTGTACTTGCAAGATATACATCTACAAACCTATACAAGCAAGGTTGTCCAAATTTCAGTGATTTTTTTCCAAATAAATAATTATATTAGTTAAAAAAAGTTTCTAAGGGAATTCATACTTAAATTAGTAAAAATATTACATCATTTTTTTGGGCTGTTTTTAAAGGGTTTTTAAGTCGGTTGTCAAAATAGCAACATACATAATGTTACAGAAATTTTCCTAAACCCCAAAAAGAAATTGTCCTTAAGTTGTACTGATGTAAGACGGTAAAAGATCAGCATGTCATAATTATGATGAAATGTTGGTACAGTGTTTGATAACATGCACTATAAGGTGTTTGGTGAACAAGTATAATATGTGTACAAAAGAGCAATGTTTGAACGTAAGACATTAATATATATATATTATAAAGTTTAAGCCTGTAAAACAATGTCTTTCAATCAAGCACTGACAATGTTTATGACAACCCTGTTGAGTTTGAATTCAATCGGTCGATTCGTTTTTGAACGAACCTTAAAGTGTGTTTTGAGAAAAACACGTTTAAACATTGAACTTTCAGGTTCAATCTGCACCTGATGGCACCTAGTGTACCTAAAAAGTATGATAATTAATTAATATTCATTAATTAATATTAATTTTGGTCGAAATCACTTGAAATTTTCGGTGAGTATTTTATTTATCTTATAGTAATTTTTTTAGATCTCATTACGAACTTGGATTTTGCATAGCGCACCAAGTTTTGTTTGTAAATAGTTTGTAGGCTTTGAAAAAAACAACATTTTTTTTATTGTGCATTTTTACTAATTTTTTTTTCAAATTTAACTTTATTTATTTTACTCTTACACTTAATAAAAACAGAAAATTCAAAATTATAGCTGTTATTCATAACTTTATATAGTGCTAAAATTTTAAGACAGTTTTCTATAAACTTAATCAGAAGTACTAAATACCAAGAGATTGTGGTTTTTAAAACATTAGAGGTACTATGCAAAGTCCAAGTCTAAGAAAAAAAATACAATAAATGTATGTACTTTGGTTCTTGTTGTGCAAACCTTTCTGTGTACAAATGATTTAATCAGGATCAATATACCCATTGCCACCTTCTAATTTCGAAAATTAGCTTGACTTGTTAACAATACAAGTATTACCAATCAGACGCCAATGTAGGAATTACAAGTGGTCAATTTTTATAAGGCTATTAAAATAAATGCTAATTTCTGATGTATTGCGTTTAGTCCATGCGGTTAGGACTTAACCTAAGTAAACCTAACCCATTCGGTGTCTCCGTGATGCTAGTTTCAGTTAGTTTCAGTTAGACCTCAAGCCCAGAAAGGTTGTAAGGAGGGGTGATAAGAGATAACGGTATGATAAGAAATCCGCCATCTTTGAGGAAATTAGAACCTTATCACACGAAAATATGTTGATAACAGTTCAAAGTTAAGTAGATAACAGAGAATCACAGATGGATCCCACAAAAATGGCGGACGCCGACTTCAATTCTTATCACTAATTGGCAATCTAACTTATTATATAATAAATATCAGTGGATAAGAAACAAGAAGGGGCGATAAGAGACAAGGAATAGGCGGGTTCCATTGAACCTAATCATGATTTATATTATATTTCTCCAAGGAGAGGAGAAAGTTGTACTAGTTTTTATCTCGTGCCCTCAGTGCTCGTCTTGGCTACCGGCTAAGACGAATAGGTACGGAAGTATGTTTATAATCGTTCACCGTCTTACCTTTTTGCCCTTTGCGCCGATAACGTACGCCTTGGCGTCGGTGCCCTCCAGTCTTTGCTTTGTCATGTCGAAGACTTTTCTCTTTTTCTTTTGCGTTTGCAAACAGACAGTAATGTGTTTGTCTATCCGATCCGAGTTAAAGTCTCTATTGCAATGGGGACACCTTTCCATGCCCGGTGCGATCGGCCTGTCCGGCGGAGGTTTGGCGGGAGCGGCCGCCATTTTCGGTTTGGTCACTTTAATTGTCCTCGGCGGTGACTTTGGAGGCGATTTTACCGCGGCCCTAACCGTGGTCACGGTTATGTTCCTCTTGTTACCGTTCAGCGAGGGCAGCTTAGACGCGTCCGCGGGTTTCGCCACGGGTTTTAGAGGAGGTGCTAAGCGATTGAAACTTTTCTTTTCGCCAATTATTTTCGTGCTAATATTATCACAGTCTTTTTTGCCGTTTTGAGTTGCCAGTGCAGGTTTGTTTTCGGCTCCTCGTGTAGTGGGTGGCAAAATTTTGGACGTTGTCTTGTTCAGTGGCACCTTAAAACACATTCAAACTATAATTATAATAAACGGTGAAAATATATAATACGCGCCGGACGCGATGTGTGATAAATAAAAACAAACACAAAAAAAAAACATCTATTATAGAACAACCATGTCAGGAGACTTGATGGAAAGAAGAAGCGACCATATATTAGTAGGTATGTGGATGTTGTAAACAGTGTGATTGTAGTGTGTATAATGTATAAATATGCGACATGGGTTATTCATTATGTAGTAGCTTTGCAGCCTCGTTAAATTGTACTGTGAAGCTATGTAATTATATTTACATCAAGTATAAACTATATAGGTATCATTATTCATTGTCAAAAACGCATATTTGTTCCGTGGAAGAACTACTAGTTCTTACATTTTTCACTTGTGGTAATTCACTGGTGTTTATATCATATTACTATTATTGTCTAAAGATCAAAAAACCAAATAGCAAATGTGGTCTACAAAAGGTGCCGGGGGTACATAAATAAAGTATACAGGGTGATTTCTTCATTGTGATCCACCCAATATCTCATAAGGTTTAATTGCATTGTTTTTTTCACAGGTCAAATAATGTTTTGGAGTAGGGTAGGAACATGAAAATTTGTAAAAAAATTGTTATCACATTATATAGAAACGCTATGAAAAAAAACAAATGCAGTTATTGATTAAACCCAGTGAGATATTGAGTGGTTCACGGTAAAACCACGGATTAAATAAAACCACATAGTGCACTTCATTGGAAAACGATATATGTTCAAGAAATGATTTTTGATTGGTTTAAACTTGAGGCAGTAGTGCCGAAACGTAAACTGATAAGAATAGCTGATAACAATAATTGATAAAAGACGGTCGATGGTGATAACATTGCAGATGTCACACTGACCTGAGATTAACAAAGTGCACTATCTGGTTTTATATTTTAATCTGTGATAAAACGATCACCCGGTAGACACACACAAGAACCTACATCTATGAATATTATTGTTTTACAATGTGTTTTGTGCTCGATACACTTGTCTAGCACCTACGATGTTGTATTTCAACGGACACACAAATATCTGCATGCACAAAGCCACAATCCGCAAAAGATATATTATTATACATTGATTAACCTGCAACGTGTTTGAGCTATCGTCACTATTAGTGTTTCTATTGTCTGATGTGAATATTAACGACTTTAATTCGGGCGCAGACTGAGCGGTTTTCATCGTTCTGTTGGCCGCAAACGATTCGGACAACAAACGGCCGCCCAAGTTTGGCAGCTTCCCGAAAAGGCTAAAGATCGAATCGTCGTCGCTTTCCAAGTATATTTTCTTACCGAGCGGTTCCAGCGGATAACTTCTGTCCCGGCCCGTATTACTTCTGGTCGTTCCGTGCCGTCTTTGTGCGAATAATTCCCTGACCTAGCTTTCACACAATACACAGTATTCTTGTACACACCGAACAACAGCAACAGAATAAAAAATTCCGACAATGTACAAACCAAAATTAAAACGTATCTGTCAAGCCAAAATATTGCGTTTGACGACATGAAAACTATATTTACATCAAGAAACATTAGTCTAAAAACAAGAAAAAATCTATTCAACACATATGTACGGAGCATTACCCTATACGGGTGGGAAACCTGGACAAGAACGAAGAAGACTGGAAGCGTTTGAAATGTGGTGTTATAGGAGAATGTTGAGGGTAAGTTGGATGGACAGAATAACCAATGTACTGGAAGTACTGGAACGAATAGGCCATATTATAATGAGACACGAAGGATTGTTAAAACTGATTATAGAAGGAAAGAACCACAGGGGAACACCACAGTTAGAATACATTCAACAGACAATAAAGGACCAAGGATGTGACTCATATGTAGAAATGATAAGGAAAGCAGATAATGGAGAAGAATGGAAGATGGCTGCAAACCAATATACGGATTGAAACCATAGAGAGAGAGACAAACAAATTTGGTTTTAGTTTGTTCACTGTGTTTTAGCATTCGATCCGGAGCCGAGAAGGTATGTGGTTTTTAAAATAATGTGTTTTTATTTTTTACTTGGATATTGTTTGTCTTATGGCTGGGGGTCATTCTGAAAATTTGTCCGTCACGGTTTGTGTCACAGTGCTGACGTCATTATAAGGAGGATTATGAAGGTGACTTAACAGAGATAGTGGATTAGAGATAATAGATTGCAGGACATATCCATGTATTGATATATCTGCAAGAAGTGTGAATACTCTTAAGTTTTTTTATATATTAAACTGATATCTTTCTTTTGACGACTCTATGGATCAGACATCGTACCTAAAAGGTGTCTTATCGGTTCGGAAATTAAAAAAAATTCACTCCTTCCACTTTAAAATCGAGAAAATGTATTAAAAATTTGTTATGGAATGTTCTTTAGACATGGTACCCAACCGATAGACCATGAAACAACTATCATAAACCTATTCCCCAAAAAAATGTGGAAACTGTTTCTTTATATTGCCTTTTTATGCGAATCCCCATTCTAAGACTACCTTCATTCTAATTTCTAGATCTTAAGCCCTAGTACTACACTTTAAAAAGCTAAGGTTTATCTTCTTAAATGATAAAGAAAAATGGTTTACCCATTTTGGGGGAAAAGGTTTTAATACCATGTCTAAAGAAAACTATACAAATTTGGGACTCATTTAGCTACTTTAAGTCACTAACAACAAATAAATGTTTAGTAGAAACGCTTTTTTTATTTTGTTCTTAACGTTATTGAAAAATTACTAATTAACTGAAAATAGATTTTAAATTGTGTTTCAATCGATACACTTTGTAAATGTTATGAATTTTTCAAGTTTTTGTACAAAAACAGAACATGTAAGCGTTATAAAAGTTTGAAGCAAATAATTCAATATGAAAATAAATTATTCTTTATTTTATTACTGTACATGTTTTCAAATGTTAGCTTAATGTCGAGTTCAAGTGTCAAATTGCCACGACAATGTGTTCATATGAAGACCCCATCAAGTAGTTATTACTTTATTATTTGCTGTTTAGAGGATATTGTGTACTATTTGCAAGTGTAAAAATTAAAATTCAGCAAAATACCAAATGTAAAATATTGGTTTAAGATATCTTATACCGCTTCGCTTCTAGTATCCTCATTTAATATTCGGTTGAAAATATTACTTATAATAAAAAGTGAAAAAAAATGTGTTTACCTTTCCTTTGACGTTAAAGTCTTTTGAGAAATTTTCTCGTGGAACTGTAACATGTTTTTCCGGAATTTTGATTTGTGGTTTCTCTTTGACTTCTCTAGGCGGAGATGGCATTGCAGTTTTTTTACTCTCCGACAGATGCTTTTGTTGGAACTTACGCTAAAAAAAAAATGTATATATATGTAGGTATGTATTAATATTTGTCAATTTTTTAACATTATTTATTAAATTCAAAAAAACTATCCAAAAGGTTTTGAATTTAATAAATAATGTTATAAATTGCTTACAATAGGTCTGTGATGAGTGATGATTCATTAAGTATAAAAGTGTTTTCACCTCGGAACTCGGAAAGTGAAAACCAAGTAGAAATTAATGATGTAATGTGTAAACATTTTAAAATCAATAAATGTAAAATTTTGCTTAATTTAAAAAAAATAAATAACTCACTAAAAAGAGGTTTAAAGGACATTTTTAAATCGTCTTAGACCTTCAGTCATATTATTCCAGTCTATTTAAGCATTTCAAACGTGGCTTGTGCTGTGTTTAGTATAACAATATATAAATGTAATTTGTTCCCACCAATAATAGAGACATTTAACACGACATTAATTAGCAGCTGTCGAAATTTTTGTGCATAAATCACATCTTTAATAAATATTTGAACGTTGTGAAAACTTTTTACATTGGTTCTTTAGTCGTGAGCACCTCTGATTAAAATTAACCGCCATGCGTTCACTGTGTCTCTTGTTCCATAACTACTACCGATTATAATAACGCTTTGTATTTGTTTTTTTTAATGCATTAATTGAACAAGGATAACGAAGAAAACGCGTTGAGTTAGGTAAACAATTATCTATAGTCACTGCACATTTCAAATCTTGTATACTCCAACGTGAAAAATTACAAAAGTTAACAATAATTAGATGTAATATCATTTATTTTAATTGACTCACTTGCATTTCCAGAAGTCTGGAATTTTGACCGGCCGCAAAAGCCATTGTAGCATATAGTAAACTGAAAATAATCACATCAAAAATAATGTAATACATCATTTAACTACAGTAAGTAATATTATGGAATGGAATTTTTTCCACAAGACAATTAAATTTCATATAATAATAATAATAATATGTCGTGTTGACGTTTTGAAAATAGTTGCAAAAAAGAAATCAAAGAAAAAAACGTACAACTCCTATAAATAAAAAATATTTCAATTGGTGTCTTTTTTTTTGAAAATGTTACATTCATTAATTTTGTAGTATGATAATATGGGACATGGTAAAAATAATCATTTAGTATGCATGACCCATTTTCCGTGTCTACCTACCACTACTTATGTATATTAAAAAAAAAAACTTGTACACCGAAGACACCCACTTATACTTACTTATATAGATATTAACCTTCACATTAGGTTTTTCAAACCAATGCTCGTTTTACCTTTTATTCACTACTGGTGAACGAGAAAGGGTTCTTCAAAAAAAACGAACAATTGAACGGTGTCAGTCGATATAGTCGATATATAGGTGTGTAAAAACTGGGTGAACCCAAAATGTTTACATTGATTAAAATATTACCAATACGTCATAACTCTTGTACCTACTCCTAATAAATATTAAAAAAAACATACTTAATTCCTACACCTTTTGGACAACAGTGGTAAGTTTGAGCTCAAGTCAAATGTCAATAAGTTAGCTAATAGTGTTTTTTAATAACACATGTTATTGTGAAATCAAATGGCATTTTTCATTTATGTTTTAGGTTTTTCAAAAACTTTTCATTTACCTACTTATTATATGAGTTAAAATCATAAAAAAATTATAATTTTCACAATTTTGTCTCTTTATGTGAAATTGTGTATGTGACGATTCTTTTGCATATTACATTAAAAACTAATAAAGTTATTATTTAATTACAATTAAAGTATTATACGTTTTATCTTAAAATTTGGTCAGATACATTTTTGGTTTGGTGTTTATAATAAACGGATCCAAATTTTCGAGAAAAAAACAATTTAATAAAACAGTTGTGTCGATTTCACATACAAATTTAATAGATTTTCATTTTAAATTAGGTATTTCGAACATTCGCCATAACATATACTGAACGTTTCTGTACAATCATAATATTAAAAGTCATCTCTAAATATTGCACTTAAAATAATACTTTTTTTGGCCTGAAAATCGAATATAATCGAATTAAACGACGGTTTTATTTAAACCAATTTTTTTAGCAAACATAATATATTATATAAAAACTACTATTGCTGTGGTATACAATTCGAACAACCCTCTAAATACAGTGATGATATTATTTTCTAATATTTTATGGACTACAATTATTATTATTATCGTTCTACCTATGTAGTTATTATGAAGTAAACGTTGACCACACACCTGGTTTAAAGGCTAATGTGCTATAGCCAAGTGTTTCCCATACAGGTATATTATTACTAAAATTAAATTAAATGAAAATTTGTTAATAATTTCAAAGTGGCGGATCCAAGACATTCGAATTTGGAAAACAAAATAATTATAATAATAATACCATACAACATTGCCCACGCCACGTTATACCACTAAATGAGTCACTACGACGCTTGTGATGTATTATTATTATTATAATATTAAATTAAACCTAATTTATTATTTGTTCACATTATCATGTATTATGCATTTATCTGCGTTACAGGTGTAGGTTTAACCGGTGTATTTTATGTATAATAATAATGTTAGTATTATGTTGAATCGTATCCACCGGAGACAAAAAAAAAAAAATAATAACAATCAAGTATTATATAATATTCGCCTTAGACAATATTAATATCTTGTAACTAATTTATGTGCAGATGTACAATATTAAACGTTATTTTTATTACCGGAATAATAGTGTAGGTTAAACAAAAACAAAAACAAAATATAATAACATTAGTATTGCATCTGATATGTTTTATTAAAGTTTTTTTTTTTCCTGAGAACAAGTTTAAATTCTGCATTCTCATGGCAACCACCGTTGTAGATACACTTTCACATACGTGACCCATCGTGGCTTTTTCAATAAAAAGGTTCAACAACCCTTTTGAGTGATTAATATTGTAAGTATTTCAACCCTTATGTACGTCATAATCGCAAAACACATAACACCGCATACATAAGAAAAGCCTACACAAAATAAAAAAAAACACCACAATCCAAACCCTATTAAACTTTTTTTTTTATTAAGGTTTATATTATTTTATCATCGTCGATTATTCGAAATGGCAAGAAAAATGTCAATTGGATGGATATCACTTTTAATTTATATCTAACAGAGTTTTAATTAAAACACAATATGCTATATTGCGTTGTAGTTGTTTGATAGGTGTTAATGCTTGTTAAGTATTTGATGGTGCCTTTTAATTGTATAAAATATGTCTTCTATTTGGTATTTTTTTTTTTTTATAAAACTTAACGGCAATTGTGGTTGTAATTTTTGTTATAGTGTTGCAATAAGCCCGATTGCTGGTAAAGTGTTAAAATTAATTTTTTAAACCTTATAGATAACCTTAAGATGTGATTATGAGTTAAATTAATAAATTAACAAATCATTTCAGCTTTACTTGGACCTAACACCTATTGACTTGGCTTGTTCTCAAACAATATAAGCATTATAAATTCGATAACTAACAGAAACTTCTTCTTGTACATAAACAAGTTAATTAGGCTTGTTGAGGGAAGATTAAACGGGCTTGGGTTACTAAAACCTTTAAAACTTAAAATTAGTACTGTCCAAAAGAGTTAATTTTTTAGATAATATTACAATTTTTGAAAATTACCAAATGTTTAACAATCTCCCAAATTCCCGCCAATGAAGAGAACAAATCTATATAAACTTTTTATATATTAGGTAACGACATTGTATTGGCACAAATTCCATTGTATTCACTAATTCGATTAAAATATTAGACGTTTATGTTATTTTTTCAATTTTATTTAATTAAATCTACTTGTACGATTTACAAGTGGCATTGCCTCCAACAGGTCATTAACAACCACTAGAAAAATAATTAATTATTTTCATTAACAGTTATTGAACATTTAGAAGCGGGTAGGACTTTAGTACATCCTATTCTACCGTGTTTCTTACTAAATTTATACATATTAAAAAAAGGCTGATACTTAGATGAACCTGCTATTAAACATCTTTTTACATTTTTTTTCCCCCACTCGTTTTTTATATAAAGAAAATACCTATCTAAAACAACAACGAGGCTCGACTTCGACTATGGCTTGTTTAAAAAAAAAACAGTAGCTTAATTTAAACAATTTAAGTATCACAAATAATGGCTTAACGATGACGGTGGTCTGTAGAGGCATGTACAAAATTAACGGCTGTAATAATTGTTGCAATACCACTTAAGACCTTGTAAGTACTCACTGTTTTCATGTGTCAACTTAGACATTAAGCCCGTCGTTAAACGATAACCGGTCATCCTACGCAGAGGAGTCATGGCGGTCACCTATGACCATATTACTGATGACAGATAGACCGAGTGGACGGGTCGTTGTATTTTAAAGTTAATTATTATATTGGGCAATTGTCCGGAAGAAGAATAACATTTTAAAAAAAAAAAAAACCCTAGCTACCGCATTGGCTTATGCGACAAGCGTTTTTTTAGTGCACACGCGAAATGCACGACCGTCGAATCGATCGGAATCGAACCAACTGCCTAATACAAATAGGGTTATACTCTGTACATAATAAATTATTATATTTGTATACACACGAGCATAGTTTATTCGTGTTACTAAGGCGTTTTGGGCGTACAACATGAACACACACATGTCCACACAATTTGGGAATGACCGACTTAACCCGCCGAATTACCAAGATAATATTCTGTCGAATTTAAGATCGCCACCGGCAAACACCATGTCCCGTGTTTACCTTGACTAGAATACAAGTTCAACCCTTTAAGACAATGATAATGTGTGGCGACAATGCAAACCGTACTGTTCTCAGCCAATAGTACATTCATTTGCTTTGATCATTGGAAATAGTACTCATGTTTTGACTGTAGTTTTTCCGAAACATTCGATTTTCATTTTATATTATAATATTATTTAAACTGAATAAGTTGAATATTTCGATTGAGCTAAAGTAAAAACACTTTGTTTATTAAAATGTATTCTGGAAAAAAATATTTGAAAAGCGAGTAACTTCCAAATCTATAATATTTAATATCTATTAAATATTATCTATTTTAATTTTTTAGTATTTTTTTAGAGCTCTATCGACTTTTGAAACTTTAATATTTACTCGATTTTTTATATTAGAAATAATTTGCTAAACATTTTTCACTGGTTAGCTTGATGACCAGTTATGAATAATTACCTTAAACATATTTTAAAAGCTAGGACGTGAGATGGAGTGCGATTGAGTAACTCTTAAAATATAACCTTGAATAACTTTTTAATTAATTATTCAAGACTGGTTTTTCGGCAAATTATTCTTAATTTAAAAAGTTAGTAAAATGCATAAAGTGTTAAGACACAAGGAAAAAAGAAGTATTTTAAAATATATATATAAAAAATATTGACTAACTATTAACTAAAGAAGTATTAAACAAATAATCTTCTTCAACTTGATTAATATTTTTGGTAAATGATATAGCTCACAAAGAACTTTACATTAAATCACATTTTTTTTTATTAGTAAAACATTTATCTGTAAAAATAAGTCATTGTGGTGAAGTTTACATAAGTTTGACCACCTTGTATGATAATGTTATAATTATGTATACACTTATTACATAATTTATGTTATTTTACAATACTAAACCAATAACTAAATATTCATTCATTTTTTTTTTGTATTTTCCAGAGCTCTATAACATTTTAAAACTTAAATGGAAATATATAATATGTTTAATTAGCTTTTTAAAGCAGAAATCATTTTTAGAAAATGTTAACTGGTCGATTATTAATTGTGTATAATTAATTTAAAGTTTAAAACTTAATTTAACTTTAAAACTTTGTACGTCCCGTAATTTAAGTTCCAAAGTGTTTAGAACTATAAAATTTACAAAAACATTTAAAAAATGAATATTATTTTCTATTGTATTTATGTAACATTGATTAAACTGCCACCAAAACGAAAACCTACAAAATTACATTTGTTTTCAGAAGAATTAGTTAAATGATGAGTGTTAAACGGATCACCCTGTACAATGTACAAACAATATAATAATATTTAAACGCCGACATACATTTTTCATTATTTTCTGAGATAAGATTTGGTATAATATATTTTATATATTAATACCGTCGAAAACCAATTACAACCGAAGTTTTAAATTATGTATGTATACATATATTACACTGTACACGGAACCTTGCTATGATTTATAGGTATAAACTTCATTAGAAAGTGTTTTCAAATATTTTAATAATATGTTAGAAGATTAATAAACTTTGTACAATGTGTTTTTACCACCCACTCGTTGGGAGGTACTTTTAATTTGTTTTTTTTTTTTAATATGATATTACCATTGAGTATATATTCTACATACAATATATACTCAATGATATTACCCATTTATTAATACTTAATTAATAACTAAACATTTTTTTTTAAATATATACACCTAGTAAAATACACATGGATTCAATAATATTTCTCTTTTATCGAGTTTAACTTTTTTTTTTAAAGTATTTATTATTTAAGTTTTAGATACATAGGTATGTATTACATCAATATATATATATATTTATGTAATTTTGTTACATAAGTGAATTATGTACATAATTTGTTTTCTGGCAAACTCTCATAAGCAATAATTACATTCCAATAAATTGTATCAAACCAAAGTGTGTTTTAACAAAAAAATTCATATTAAAATAAAATGTTTTATAATAGCATCAGTTATGATAACAGGTTTGATCAGGTGACAAAAATGATATAGCTACTCTAACTGTGTTGGTAGGTATAGGCTATAGTACTAGATCAATACGAATGGATTTTATGGTTAATTTTTTAAACCACTAATTGCTTTAGCTTTTGTACTTGCTCTGTCGCAAAAAAAGCAGAATCCACCGTGCTTTAAACCCTAAAGCCTAGGCCCTAGCCTCTAAAAATACACCTACCTGAAATATACACCTTTTGTGGGACTTAATGTTTGAAAATGACTAGACAACGATTAAGGTGGTTATAAAATGTAGTCTAAACGATATAAGCTAATAATAATAGTGGAATTTCTTTTTCTTGGAATAACAGTGAAAAGTTTGAGCTCAAGTCAAATGTTAACAAGTTAGCTGACAGTGTTTTCTATGGGTATGGTTATTGTGAAATCAAATGGCAATTTTTATTTATAGTTTAGGTTTATTAAGACTTTTCATGTACTCATTATGAGTTATAATAAAAATAAAAAATAAATTATAATTGTTACAATTTTGTCTCTTTATGTTCAATGTTGTGTATGTGACAACTATTATACATATTACATATTATTAACAAATTAAAAATAAATTAAAACAAAAAAGAGCCACAACTAAAATGGAATGTCATAAATTTTAAACTGTAGATTTAACGCTTATAAATTTAAATCATTGGTTAGGTAATCGTTGATGTTTTTCACAGAAACTATAGATAGTAATTTGTGTAATAATTTGTACATAATCAGACCGTCACGAATAAACCCTCTACACCATATTTTTTTTTTCAATATATATTTTTTTAGGTAGTCTTTTTCCATTTTTTTTTTTTTTTATAATTTAGTAGGAAAAATGATCGACAATAACACCGTTTATATATGTATTTTTAGGAATCACGATATTATACCTATATTTATTTATTGATAGCGATCAGTGGAATCATTGTCCGTGACAATGCGTTATGTGTGTGCATTTATAAAACAGTTAATGATTATTCTGGTAAATTATTATTATTATTTTTTTTTTTGCATTTCCCGAATTTTAAGCATATTTTCAAGTTTTTTTTTTTTTGTAGCATGTTTGAACGCATTTATTTTTTCAAGTCATACTTAATTATACAATTGTTACAATTTCAATAGGTACGACGGTTACAATATGTTATGTTATAACACACGTTGATTAGATACAATTAAACTGTTATTTTAGTTTAAATTTTACAATATTTTACCTCGATATTATGATATATAGTTGACAATAGATTGTTTCATTTGCGTGGTATCGATTTACAAGATATGAATAATTTAAGAAGTTTGCTTATAAGGTCAAAAAAAATCGTTAAACCGATTGGTTTTTGGAGAGGAGGAGGGTGGACTCGTTAACTTAGTCGTTTGAACTACTTACAAATTACTAAATACAAGTACGTTAATTTGTAATGTGTGTGTCGACACAAAGTGTTGGGAAATTGATGATTCGGTGTTATTTGTTTTTGTTTATTTCTGGTTAATATTACACTTACAAAAAAAAAAAAAAAGTGGTGCACATAAATTTGTCTTGGATTTTTTTTAGCCATGAATTTGTGAGCATATAAAATAAAAAGAAAATATATCCATTGGGAACACTTGGAAAACGTTTACACCGGCAAATGATTTTTCAAAGTGATGCAAAATATACAATATAACAAGAATTATCGCTTTACTCTCTTACCTCTTGGCCGCCAATCAAAACGAGCACCAAAATTGATAAAAAATATTGTTATGATAACATAATTTACAAATTTTCGAACGAAACACTTTTAGAAATGTTGTAATTTACACTAATCGAATAAAAAAAAAAAAAAAAAACTGTTAAAATTTGATTTTAAATTACAATTTTGACAACCGGGTTACCTACTACATTGACATGACAACGGAAAATAATGGCCAACACAATAATCTGATACCAAAGTAAAGCTCGGATGTTTATGAGACATTATCAGCAAACTTATATTTGTATATTTGACATTTTTCAGAGCATATTCTATTTGCCAATAACGTTTGTTTCTAGATTTTGTGGCATATCATTGGTATGAATATAAGAATAATTAATAAAAAAAAAAAATGTAGCATTTTATCATAATATATTTTATGATAAAAATACATTGTCCAAAATGTCCAAAATAATGGTCATTGTTTTTTTTTTTTTTAATTTCAAAAAACACCATCGAAATAATTATTATTGTAACGCAATGTTGTCCCGATAGATATAAAATAACTTTTAATTAAACACTGTGTAAAATGCATTTGTGGTCAATATAGCGTCCGAGCTTTACTGAAAAACTTGAGTATATTTTAGAAAAATATTATCGTTAGGCCGGTTAAGTAGGTATACTCACCGGTAATCTTATGGCATTGGAAGAAGAACAAAATAAGTTTCTTGTCGATGGTGGTTTTTTGACGAATTGCACGAAACGACCGACTGTCTTGTGTGTGTGTGTGAGTGTAGATTGTAGATTGTTTAATGTCATAAAAATAAAATGGTAAATACTAGCGAGACCCACGTGGGCAGCGCTTCGATAATCGTCCGGTCGCTTTGGGCCGGTGTGGGAGAACTGGAGGTTGTTAGTCAGGTACCACATGATATTCCAAAACCATATAGTAATATAGCGATTATTGTACTGTACGGCTTGTCCCTACTACCATACACTACTATTAATAATAATACTACTACTACTACTACTACTACTATCACAACTACTGGTAAGTGTGTACACAGTTACTACCCAAGATCACATATCGTACACTATACAGAGTGATCGAAGCTAGAGAAGGTGAAAATAGATACATTGCAATTTTCTAGTACTACTTTTTTAAAAAATATTTTCTAGTTATTTTTTTGAACAACAGACGGCTTATTCGATTTACAACGCGGTTAACGAATATTAGTTGGTACAAACGATAGAGATGACTAACATATTGTTCTCTACGCGTTCAATAGAAGACAAACGATTTAAATAAATATAATAAGAATAAAAATTTAATGCTATACAATAGGTAAAGATGTATTGTTTAAAAAATTCTACATCAGAGAGAGTTAAGAAACAAAACTTACTCCAAGATCTTTAATTATTTAGGCGGATCGAAACAAAGATTAAGTATAATTATTCGTATCAAAAGACATGCCATTTGATGTACCTACACCAATAACTATTCAAATCTTTCTGTAAAAGTCCATCACCTAGTACATTATCAATACATTTAAATATTTTTGCTTCATCAGCGGTTAAAAATAGCTATCAAAACTGATTTTCGATCAATCAACATTTTTAGCGTAGTATTCTTAATCTAAAAAGTTAATTGAATATGTTAACAGAGCTCTGAAAAAATAATTTGAATATTTTTTAATATTGTGAAATAATATATTAAATAAAAATGTCACAAAAAGAAAAACTAAAAAATTGCATTTATTTTAACAAAGACAATGTGTGTCTTGTGTTAAATAGATCACCCTGTACAGAGCGATCCATTAAAGTGAGATCCTAATTTTTTTTTTTTTTTGAGATAATTAAAATTAATTGATTTTTATTGATTAATAACTACAACCAATTGAAAACAGAGAATTTAAGGATTTCTGAAACCAGTCATACAATAAACGTTTTTTAATTGTTTTATAACATTCCTTAAATAACTATTGTAATTTTTATTACAATTAATTATGATTTTTAATATTTTTAGTAGAGCGTATTCGTTTGTATTAATTAGGTACATAATTATTTATAAAAAAAAATAATGGAAATTATGAGAAACTTATGTGAACTGGAAAAGTTTAAAACTAAAGTTTTCAATTTCAGAGTAAAGTATTGAAAATAAATGATATTTTTTTTTTGTTTTTAAATTTGTATAACAATAATATATTTTGTTGTAAGATTTTATATGAAGAACAACAAAAGTGTAATTTAAAAATCATAAAAATATAATTTACTTTAAGTACTTAATTTATATTTTTAAAAAAAAAAGTATTATTATTTTAGCGCCGTTTTTTTTGTTTTTTTTAAAAATGTTTGTTATTATCTTATTTTGCACTACTGTAAAATTACTTAACTGCATTCACATATTATCAAAAGCTTTATACATTTTTGAAACTTAATTTGGGAATTCGTTTGGAGTTTTTTTTTTTTTTTTGTAAACATATTGTGTGTATGTTGTAAACTTAAGTCGAGAATAACATACTGAAAATTGTTGATTAATCGATTTTGTAAAATGTATAATATTTGTAAAAACTAACTAATTTTTTTCTTCTTTCTTTTACATTTCAAATTGCAATTATTTCAAGAGCAAACACGTTTTTCCGCGTTAAATTGATCGCCCTGTATGTACCCTGTACAGCACAATATTATGGTGGTACGAATATACATTGGTATTGTTGTGTTTAAGAAAAAAAATCAAGAGAGAGAGAGAGAGAGGAAAACATGCTATATGTAGGTATATAGGTAGTAGGTACCAGCTAGGTATCAACAACACACAGAACCCATACCATAAATGGACAACCGAAGGATTGAACGCGATACAAGTTTTATTACTTCCCGAATAAGTTTTTTTTTTTTTGCAAATCATCATTTCGGTACAAAATAATATTATAGCAGTCCTTATTGTGCACCGCACTCGAACCGCAAACGCTTCCACGCGGATCTGTAAACGGTAAAAAATGTTAAATATAAATAGAAAATAATTACTGCAGACAACACACTGTATAATCATTGGCAGAGATCAGGAGGAGGAGAGGGGGCTTGGGATTCTAAAAACCTTAAAAAAAAAAAAATCATAAAACTTAAAATTAGCGGTAGATTTATTTTCATCCCGACAAATCTCCGACTGAAAAATAAATTTTGGTATTTGGAAAAGCTCTAATTTTAAGTTTTAAGGTTTTTAGTAACCAAAGCCCTCCCTCCCCCCCCCCACCCTCTTGATCTTTTAGTATTGGGGTGGATATGGTCAAAATAATTAATGTTATTTCCCACAATATATCAAAATACATTAACGTTATGATTTTTCAAATACCTGTTGAGACAGTTGCTTCACAGTCGTGCATAGCGACTTGGAAAATATAATCTAATACAGTCAAAACCCACCCTTTTTTTTTTTGTAGGGGTTTCCTTAATAGTAATAAAAATGTTTAAACATAGATTTATGAAAAAAAAAAATAGTTGTATATACTGTAACCCCACTTTAGATCAACATTCAGTTAGATTTTAAGAGAAGAATTTATTAAAAGTAATAGTTTAAAATTTAAACTATTGACTGGGTCGATATAAATACATATAATATCTATCTAATAGATAACATATTATCTGACTTAGTTAAAGCTACACATATGTTAAGTATGTACTCTAAATCTTAATCATCGACCAGTAATAATTGCTGTACTCGCTCACACAATAAAATGATATAATTACAAATTGTTTTTATCATATATTCTTACCCACAACCCTATTTAAATATAAGCAGGTATACGTGTGCATATTTTTAAAACGAATTTTACATAAGCAAAATGAATTTCCACATTAAACCGAAAATTATAAATTTTAACGTACACTTTTTTTGAACATAATATTTTACAATTGGGTAACTGTAATGACCACAGTTAGCTTGAAAGGGTTAATTTAAATAACACTAACGATGCAATACGGCCAATATAAGCTTAACAACTAAGCACACTATTTTTAGCCGTGACTTATGAGCAAGTACCGTCTTATGGATGTGTTTATAGATAATAATATGTAGGTACGCAACAATGGGATAAGTACACTGTTGGAGATTACTATATATGGAGTTTACAAAAAGCGAGTGGGAGCAAGTAGAGTGGAACGCATAAGAGGCCACGCGCAGAAGAGGCGAATAATTTACTGTAATTATTTCATTTTGAATTCAGATTTTTGCAAACGTTTCGTTTTAAACAGTAATTTCTGGAGAAATTACATTGAGCTGGGCTAGGTGGGTATGTAATTGTGTACTTAAACCCGATTAAGTCAGTTTGCTTGATTACGTTTTTAGCCGTTTGGTCTGAAGAGTAAAAGTGGCCAGTGGGCGCTATAGTAGTGTGTCTTATACTTATTATTATTATCATGATTCATCATTATTAAGGAAGTAGGTAGTTATTGAAAGTGTACGCCATATAGAGACATACCTACTATACGGGTACATTTGATTAAATCGATATACCGTGATTGTAGGATAGGCTATTTGTTTTCACACGAATTGCGGTTTATCAAAATTATTACTTTACTACTACTACAATACTAACAGCTGCTAACACTTTGCATTTTAAAGAAACAACCCGTGTGGAAAAACGAATCTACCTACTTGATAATTTATTAAATGATAAACCACATAAAAAAAAAAAATCCATAACCTAACAACTCATACATAATATATCAAAAACATAATTTATTATATTCGTTTACTGTAAAATCATAATGTATAATGATTATATTTACATGAATTTAGGTTAGCTGTACAAATAGTACACTCTTTTTACTTTAATAGCTCAGATTTTGATGATTTTTTTTTTTTGTACATACTAAATAAGGCATTGTTTATGAGATATGGTTTTTACTAAAAATTGTCAAACAAATAAGAACGAGAACGAGCTAATCGCATTCGACCTTGAAATATTTTGTATAATTAATGCCTAACAATGTTTTTCATTGCAACGGACAAAATAGACTTTCCCCTAAAAATTTAGATTTTATGATTTTTTTTTAAATAGCAATTTAAATATATTATTATTATGTCTAAATTTATTTTTATACATTTTGACTATAGAGTGAATTTTATACAATTTTTTTTTTTGTAGTTTTTTACATAATATGAACAAAAATACTACTCAAGACAGATTTTGTTCTGGAAATTAAAATGTTTTAATTAAATATAAAAATATTATTTTATTTTAAAATAAGAGGATTAAACATGTTTTATTTTGTAACAATATTAAAATACCTAGAAGTTTGACAATAAGACTATTTTATATTTTAAAGTTTATAGTTAATACAATAATAGATAGGGCTTCGATGGTGTGGCCTAAAGGCATATATTTTAATGTACCTATTCAGTATGTATACTATATAACTGTACCTATTATATAGTTAATATGAATAAGTTTTATTAAGATTATACAATTTACAGATAAATAAATTTACTTTCATAAATATATAATGATGATTTTTACAAACTCTGATGAAAATTGTAATAAAATGTTTTAAAATCGGATACTAAGTTACTAAAAGAAATTCGTGGATCTCGAAAAAATATTTTACTTTTTTATTGTGTTAAAATTAAAAATACAATTAAAATTACATTTTGATCATGAAGGGAGCATGTTATTTTTTTTAATTTAAATATTATGTTTTTATATTATAAAATTTCAAATGTTATTAAAGTTAAACCAGGTATGTAGGAAGCATAATAATAAAGTTTTGTACTTGGTATTTTTACCTTTAGAAATTTATTTTAAATATAATAATATATACACTTTTCAATAATCATACATTGGAATATTTCTTATATTTCCAATGCATTAAGTTTCATTAGTATTTTCATCATAAAGACACACACACACACCTAATAAGTTGGCATTATAATGAAATTTGAATTTCAAATCATCGGTTTTTATAGTTTATAATAGAAACAGAAATACCTACTAGAGTAATCAGATAAAAAAAAAACAATTTATACAGACGGAGACGACCTATGGGATATGGCATAGGCTAGAATAGTATGTACACATTCGCCAAGTTTTAAAATGTACTTGCTACTTACTTTTGGATTTTTATATCTGTTCACCATAGCTATTATAGAATGTCAATAAAACTATTTCGTCATAAGCAGCGTATAACCTATCGAACGACCGTCGGCTGATAAAATTGAAGTCATTGTTATCAGCTGTTATCTCAACAACTTGGTGTAACTGATAAGAAAAATGATAACAGCAGCTGCTTTCCCCCCCCCCCGGATTAGGAGGCTGTTTCTTTAACGATAAAATATAATAATATAATATTCTCTCTCTTTCCCTGCGCAGTTACCGTTCGTGTTGATAACTATATCAACATGTAGATGCAGTGAGTGTGTGTGTTTTTTTTTATACCGTCAATTACTATATTTAAATAGAAATTAACCACTACGATGCGCCTACGAGCAGCTTTAGAAGGGCGATGACACTCGGCTCGGTTGCTGTGCTGGATGTGTGTGCGTTCGTTTGTGATGTGAGACGATTGTTCACCGTTGTGGGCGTTGTACTGGTGTTGCCGAACAACCGTCAGAATGGATACGAACTGCAATGCCAAGGAATTGGGCTCGTTTCCAAACAGAAGGTACGGAAAACGCAAACAACAATACCTATAATTTACCACTTGGAAATCAAACAGATCGCCACCGAAATCCGTGTTCGAAAATTGTAAATTTATGATTTTGGTGTGTCTATCTGAATTCAGATTAAAAAAAAAAAATACTCTCCTCGCTGATAATAGTCTTGCCATTAGCTTTTTGATTATTCGATATTGTTTACGATGACCACACGAGCACGAGTACTTGCTATATCATAGCTTGTACACTAAACAAATAACCATCATAGTGAACTCATACTTTAAGCTTGTTAATATTATCAAACCAAAATGCATACATCATTATAGAAATTCAACGTAAAAACAATAGGACTGTTCAAAACACAGTTTTCCTTAAGGAGGCCCCAAATAAGGCTTCTCGTGTTTAAACTTGGCACTTTAAAATTAATCTGTTTAAAGATAAAAGAGACAGCGGTTCATTTACCCATGTGTAGCTTGTAGAGGGACTAAATTAATGGCCTCAAATCTTTATTTTATAACCATGAAACATATAAAACGTTGCTGATTTTTTTTTCCAATTTATCAATAAGGGCCAACTGGTTAGAATTCCATGTTAGTTATCGAACAAGCTGGATTCAAACTAGGTATCTCTTTGTTTTCCTTGTGGCCGACAAAATAAATAGAAGCCTAAAATAAACACGTAAGACTTCACATGTATTACAGTTCTTATATCCGAGGCTTCGTCATTAAAACGGTAATTTTTTTTGACATAGTAAAATGTCCAAAATTTAAATACTCGTAGGTTTTGGTTGTTACAGCCTTAACGATTTATTATTATTTGATTTATGATTTCTAGTTTTATTTTGTTAATAATTTATTTGTTTTGTGTGTAGGAAGCCACAAAATTCCGATGGCGGCACTACCTTGAACAGCACATCTACTACCCAATTTGACTGTAAGTGAACGAATCCTCGTAAATCATTTTGCCTACATATTTGGTTTTGTAGTTGTTCAATTATTTACTAAATTTAAAACAAGAAGCAAACATCAGGAAAATAACTCATGACATTTAATATCTAATTATATGAAATTTGACATTATCTATTAGATAGTAAATAATGTGAGATGCTCATAATTTGTAGAAAATAAATAGAAAACTGTTTGCTATTAAATGTTTATTTTTATTAAATTTATAAACAAATATTAAAATAGATTTTTTTTTAAAGGTCCCATTTTCGATATTACATCTAGTAGTTGTAATAGTTACCTAGCAAAAATATAAGATTTAAAAAACTACCTTGTTAATTTTTTTTTTTTAAAAGCTTAACGTTATTGAGTAAAATAAATATTATTCCGATGACAAATAAAATTAAAAGACAATTTTTTTGCTCGGTCTTATTAAACGAACATAATGTGTTTTAGACTCTGTACCTGAAAAAGTGTCTTCCGTAAAATACAATCGAGCTACTACGATGAAAGAATACGAAGAACAGCTGGAAGCGTTAAGAACTGAAAATTACAACTTGCGGTTGAGAATTTACAATATGGACGAAAAGATTAACGACGAAAAAAATTGTACAAAAAAGAGCCACTCTACGACAAAAGTGGTAAGCGCACTCTAATCGATAATAATCCGAGCTTTTTAATAGTACGTGTTGTTTTTATTTTTCCAGAGTTTTGACGATCAGCAGTGTGAGTCGTCGGATCTCAACGATAGTCACTCCGAAAATGACAAAGATTTGAACTGCTTAGAATTTAATGTGAAAGAAAATAAATGTTGCAATGTCAACATAAGAGCTTTCAAAACGATACAAGAGCTGTTGAAAGTGAACAAAAGAATAATGAAAATAAACTGCCAGCTCAAAAAACAGCTCGAAACCAAACTCGCGTCGAATAAAACCCAAGTCGACTCTCTGGACAACTCCAGTAGTTGCAAGTGCGATGGGTCGTCTACACATAGTTCTAAAAAAGTAATACATTTTTTTTTTTTTTTTTAAATTTCTTATAATTTTTCTATTGTGGTTTTAACGTCGACTACTGTTTGTTTGCTTTAGGACACTACTGGCAAAATGTGTACCGAAATATCGGATCTGCAAACGGAGTTGAATGAAAAGCGATTGGAGATAACCCAATTGCAGTCGCAGTTGGATTCGTTAAAACTACTCGAGTCCGAGGAAATCCTATCGTTGCGCTCAAAACTCGTGCTGAAAGACACAGAAATAAACAAGCTTAATCAACAAGTGAAAAAACTGCACTACAATCTCCAGGAACTAGTCAACACAGAGTTGTGGGAAAAGAACAAGGAAATCTCCAAGTTGATATTGAAAGAAGCCGAACGAAAACAGTTGGTCGATTCGGCTAGTAAAAATGTGGTCGCACCTACGCCGTCCGTTGGCGAAGGTCAGTGTAAAATGATTTATGACGCTATCGAAAACGGCGACGGTCAACAGTTGATGTCGTACACGGAAGTCAATCAGCTCATCGAGAAGATTGGCAACTTGTCGACGATACTTCAAACCAACGACGACACGTGCGCGACCAACGGTTACGAACAATTGCGAAATCGTTGCGCACAAGCCTCGGAAGAGCTGGAAGCGTTGAAGTGGAAACAAAAAGAAACGGCCAAGTTGTGTGCAAATCTGTCGACTCATCTCGACGAGCTGTCTGTGTTTTTGGACGTGGTCGGTACAAATTTTTCCGAATCCAAAAGCTTGAAAAACGAAATACACAGGATGGTCAAGCGCAATCAGCAAATTTCCAAAACCCTGGTCGAACTGTGTTTCAAGGGCGGCTCGTCCGGCGTTGGCCACAACGTGCCCGTCCTTCCGGACTATTCGGAGATCAACTTTTTCAGCTGCGACGAAATGTCCCCGTCCGAGGAAGTGGCCAGGAGCGCCGAGCGAACGACGAGCATTTTTGGCAAACACTTTGGCACCGATTCAATAGAGACACGACAACACGACAGTTCCCAAGACGAGCTGAGACGTAGCGAAATTTGCGGGGTCGCAAAAGGAAAAATTGCCGATGAACCCAACGGATCCGATAACTGGTCAGAACCCGATAAGCACGTATCGTCGGCTCGCATTGGATTGGCCTGCACGTTTCCAGTACTTCACACCGAAAGCGATTCGTCGGTGGACAATCCCAAAGAAATTAAACACAGTAATTAGAAAAATACTAAAATCATTTTTTTTTTTTAAATAGCTTTTCTGATAACTACTTATTAAATGCTCTTTTTATTTATTTTTTTAGAACGTCAAAGAAAATTGTCGAACAACAACCGAGTGTCAATAAAGGTGATGTAACTCAAATTTACTAAATGAAATCATTTAACCATGCGGGATTAATAAAAATAACTGAAATCATATAATTTAATTGTATGCAATTTATAATTTGAGTAAATGTCACATAAAGCGATACCGGCAATGTCGATAATTACAATAAAATAAGTAAAACTTAAATTTATGTTATTATAGAGTGAATATTATTAAAGTAACGTATCTGAAGTATTTTATTTTAAATTATTCACTATTTTGGTACCCGTTGACAAAATTCAACTCAAAGTTGTTCAGACACCAAGTGTGAGAGAGTGATTTTCAGTAATAGAAAAATGTATCGTTGACATTAGTATTTTTTTTTAATTTTTTTTTTATTGCATTTAAACTACCAAGAAGAATTCCATAGATTCCATCGTGTCTGGACGTTTTGGATTGACTATTGGAACTTCTCCAATTATACCATCGGCAAAGCCGTCCAAATAAATAACACACATTTAGCGTCGTCGTCGATTAAATATCATTGGAACAACTCGGGCCCTTTTTTTTTTTCTTAAAGGCTTCACAGTTAAAATGTCTCTTTTACTGCACTCATTGATTGCGTTGTGCATGTTTAAGTGAATTTTGGAAAGTCTGGTGAAAAAAAACACAAAATTATAATACTTAAAAATATTCCTATAGTAAAGGAGTACCACACTTATAAAATTAAAATAAAGAAAAAGTCTCCACCCCTTCTGGAGAAAAGTGCTTATGATAGTTTTATGGTTTGTCAATGCTTTGGTCGATAGTACTTTAACTTAATACTATTCCATAGAAATTTGGAACTGATACGATTATTTAAAATAAAATTTTAGTTTGAAGTTGAAAAACATGAAAAAAAATGTAGGGTTTTTCTAGATTTTGAAGTGAAAATGTTGGTACAATAAAGTATCTTTTAGGTACAATTATTTCTGACACACAAGTGCAATTTTGTGCAAAAAGTACACTTGTTGATGCCAATAGATAGAAAATCGAACGGTGTTTATTTTTTGTAAAAGCTTTAAATTCTCAAATTTATTTTCGTTATGATATTTACATTTACAACGACAACCTTGTAGTACATTTTTATTTAGAGTAAAAATTAAATTTTCTCTCCAGAACAATTTCAATGGCGTTACTTTTAACAAGCGTGCATTGACTGAGCCGTCTATGTATGAAATGAATACAATTTTAGTCCAGGTGGTTTTGAAGTGATTTTCAAATCATTTCTACCGACGGCCGTTGGAATATTTTTAACAATTAAAACGAATACAGCGTTGTGCGTTTCCATTATGATTATTTGCAATATTTCTGTTGTAGATCACAAAAGAAGAGTACAAAAAACTGAAATCTGCCTTGCAGTTTTTCACCAAGTATTCTCGGATGTTGTTCGAAAACAGTGCTTACGAGAGGGACATGGAAAAACTGGTGCTGGTCAACTCATATCTGAGAGAAATCAACGAAAAGAACATGGCCAAAATACAGCGTTTGACCGGTCAGATGAAATCGAACGTGCCGGCAAACTGTGGACAAGACTTATCGGCGACCGGTGGAGACGATGCGGTGGAACGGTTGAAAGCCGACAACCGTCTTGTGTGTGCTCAACTGCAGCGGTCCAAAGAAGTGATCGGCGGGATGCAACGGCAGTTGGACGTTTGCCGGGCCGCCGAAAGTGAACTGGTGCGGTTCAAGGAGACTTACTGCGCAGAGCTCGGCGCCAAATTGGAAGCCGAGGTGCAGAACAAGTTTGATATTTTCTGCAGGAACTATGAGATCCTGTGCTGTCTGGTGGAGAAGACCGTGATGAAAATCACCAAGATGGAGGAAGCCGTGAAACGGCTGTCGGCCAACTGCGACGGTGTGGCTAGGCTCGAGGGCGGTGACGGTGACCCGAACGGCGGTGACGTTGCCGGCCAATTGGAACACCGGTTGAACAGCGTTACCCAAATGCTGGAATCGGCACGCTGTGACAAACAGGAAGCCGACGGTCATGTGTCGTATCTGAACGACGTGATCACGTGCAAGTCCAAGCTGATCGAAGCCTATCAGGAGCAGAAGAAAACGCTCGAGAGCAACTTGGCCGAACTGCAGACCGAGCTGAGCGACACGGCCGTAGCGCTGAGCATGCGTGAACGGGAAAACAAGGAGCTGTATTTGATTTTGCTGGAGTACGAAAAGGACAAGGGGAGGGCCGACGCCGAAGCGGTGTCGCATGCCGAACAGATGGACCGCGTCAGGGAGGACCACCGGCTGGAGATGCTCAAGCTCACCGAACAGATGTACGAGTACCGCAAAGAGGAAGAGGGCACGTTCACGGTGCACATGAACGTTCTGGACGAGATACCCAAGCAGATCGAGCTGCTCAAGCTCAACAAGCAGAAGTGGCAGGAGATGTTCGAGAAGTCGGAGAACGACAAGAACCACTTCAAGAGCATGTTGGAGCTGATACTGAACCTGAACGAGTCGAAGACGCAATGCTTTGTCGACGGCCAGACGGCCAACCGAAAAGAAACGACCGATCAAGCGTTGTTTTAACGGAATACCCGTGTCCGGTCCAAACATTTCATTTAACTAACATGTTTTTTTTTTTTTGGTTTTACAATCGACCGGGTTTCAACCGTTTTAATTCTAATCTTGTCAATTGTTTAGGTGATATTATTATTTTTAACGTACATTTTTTTGTAACACTACTAATTTGATAGTATATCGTCGAAATCGTCGCGAACAATCTACTCTAAACCAAACCCAACGGACAAACAAAATAATCGATCATTGATTTTTGTGTTTTTCATTATACATTTTGTTGTTGTTCTCTTTTTTTTAGCAACAAGCATTTTATTTTTATGTGTGTGTGTGTGATTGTTTTATTACCTAATTAGACTGTATTGTGCCATAATTGTTTAGTATTTAGTAACAATAGTAGGACTATGACGACGAAACATGACAATTTTTTTGTTTAATTTATTTATTTTTATACAAGCAACTCGATGCCAAAGAAACGTGCCAAATTTTTTAACGAAAAATAACTTTTTTTTTTTAACTGTACACTACCTACCATTTTTATAATAACCAAACCATTTATTATCATTTATATATATATATTTTTTTTTTTTTTGTTACTTACATTTTAATTTTTTAATTGTGTTATTCGTGTGTTGTGTTTTTAGCTAATTTATTATTAATAATTGTTTTACGTTATTAACACGATTAAAAATATATAATAATTATATATATATATATTGATTTGTTTTAAATACATATTTTGTATTAGCCTAGCCGTCGTACCCGTACCGCTGTGATATCTTACGATCACTTGAATATTACAGTTGACCATAGTTTAAAACTAAATATTATTTTTATCATCAGATAACTTCTAACTGATAGGCCAAAGTAAGACTAGTTTAACTGTAATATCAAGTCGAGTTAGAGCTGAGAATCAATGCTCTCTCAGTGAGTTGCTGTCCTTAAAGATAAAAGTAATTTAGGCTCTCCTCTTGACTTCATTATTGTCTAACCCATGTTCTGTTACTGAAGTTAGATTAGATTAGGTATAGTTATTACTTTTGGTAATATGTTAACACTAAACACAACTCCTCATAGATTCCCAATTAAATTTGTCATTTCGGTGACTTGTGGCCCAAATGTTTAATAAATTGTTTTGGCACCATCGAATGGATACCTAAAGGAAATCTCCCATTTTTTCACTCTATAATACATCACCTAAACTGTATCTGTAACTTTTTCGTGTTATGAAGAACCTGTGACAATTGTATTAACACAATACTTGGGTAAAGCATAGTAATAAAATAAGTAAAGTGAAACTTCTTGTATGATATAATATTCCTCAACGCCCAACTTAAGGAAAATAAAATAAAACTGATTATTTCCTATACAATTTACATTGGAATAATAATTTAATTCCTGTTATAATTAAATAAATTAAGTCTCAATAGAATATTATCATTTACATGCTGATAATATGAGTCTATTTTTCAGCTACTAAATGACTATCTCGGTTTATTTTTGGAATTTTATCCTTTTTCCATTCACCTGTTCAATTATGATTACATATTGTACAAGTGAATTAAAACGTGCTGACTGTAATTTAATTGAAACGTGACAATGTAGGGTTATTTATTATACAGTAACTGATATAATGTTTTTAATCGACTATTGAGACATTTTAAATTACTGTTGAGATACATAAAAAAAAAATAAAATTACCAAAAGCGAGTACCTTATTTAATTAACGATGTCGAAACGTGACAAACTGAAGGTTACACAAGGACAGTAAAATTATTTTTAAAAAAAGGCTCCAAGTTGATGTCCACGAAGACTACTGACTACATCAAATCTACATGACAACTGATCCGTTTGATATTCCATAGCCCACTTTGTCTTGAAAATGGAATCGTATATAAAAATATAATAGCATATATATATTATTATCGTTGCAATAAATATAGACAAAAAAATCAATATAACTTCATCCTCGCAAAACATGATTGGATAGGCTGCTACACGTGTTGTATTTACCGACTAACAAGATATTTATCGATTTCGTTTTATTACAATCGCATTCGAATTAAGATTATGGGCCGCGGTAATAATGGTTTTTCCAATAAAACGATTATTTCAAAATTATCACCGGGCAGGCTGCCTATAAATAAACGAACATCACTCCTCAGGTATCCGATTAGTGTGTAGACCGATCTCTATACCTGATAGGCGTAAATCTCCTATTCGACAAAGGGGTTAAATGATATAGATTAGTGTTCATTTTTTTATTTATTTTTTATCTATTTTTTTTTTTTTGCAAGTACAACGTTTACAATGTGGAGACAATTGTTTTGTTTAATGGTAACCGTCACGGTGGCCGCCGCGGCGTCACCCGAAAACACAAAAGCCCGTTTACCCTCAGAAGACACAACGGTGAGAAACGATACAAATCCAGCGTGGCGTTAAGTGAAATAATTAATTCGGACATTTTCAATGTTATGCTAATCGAATCGACGATACTTTTAGGTACAGGGCGGCAATTTGTTCCGAACTAAAATGGCGTCGTTGGCCGAAAAGTACAAGCCCGCGTTACAATACATCAGGCAAATCGTTTCTCGCTTATTTTCCGGCCATCGGCCACAGCCAGTGGCACGGTTAAACTCGAACGACACACGATCCTGTCCACCGTGCAGTAAGTGCATACCTATCGTAGCTGTTATTGATTTTTATATAAATACTAATCCAATCAAAAAGTTGCTCGTCAGAGACTTTTAGAGTACAAACGGGGGACGTTATAAAAATTGTAAAAAATAGGTCCAACATTCAAAATGGCTGACTTACGGTCAAAAACGTGTTTTTTTTTAAACGGAAACCATGTATTTTTTTGTTAACCAACGAAATGTTCTTATCAAAACTAACAACTTTTGTAGAAAAATGTTTCGGTAAAACCCATAATTTGTAAATTAAGTATTTTTTGTTTTGTTATTTTATTTTGATGCATATGGTAACCTTGTCATGTGTAGTAACCTTGGTATGTGTGGTAAACATGGTTTTTGTCTTTGTGATACACAGAAAAGAGGATAACCTTATCGGTAAAGATAATGATAAACATACCACGGTTGCCACACATATCATGGTTACCACACAAACCAAGGTTACCACGCATACCAAGATTACCACACAACCAAGTTACCACGCATACCAAGGTTACTATAAATAGTAACTTAATAGAGGGGAAGTCATGTGTGAAAACAGTTCCCCCTCATTGGTTCTGTATTTAAAAAAAAAAAAAAATAACAAAACTAAAAATGGCCAAAGATACTTAATTTACAAATTATGGGTTTTACCGAAAACATTTTCTACGAAAGTTGTTTTGATAAGAACATTTCTTTGGTTAACAAAAAATACATGGTTTCCATTTAAAAAAAAACCGTTTTTGACCGTTAGTCAGCCATTTTGAATTTTGGACCCTATTTTTTTTTTTTTTATAACGTCCCCCTTTGTACTCTAAAAGTCTCTAATAAGCAACTTTTTGATTGGATTAGTATTTTTAGAGAAAAATCTATTAGTATTTTAAAATTGGACACCCTGTATATGATTACCAGTGTCGGTCTGGCCAAATAACATTGAACTATTGTTCAATTTATTTCTGTGAACAAAAAAAAGGAAATTTCCTGATTTATTATAAATTTAACAGCTGAACAATTACACAGATTAAAGATAGTATGTACAAAGTAAAATAATAATGGAAAAAATATATATATACATACAAAAATTACACGTTGTTAAAATAGCTTTACTTACAATTAGATATGAAACCCAGCATCAAAGATGAATTTGAGGATGGATTGGACGATAGGAGCAGAGCGAGAGTTAGGGACATTAATACCCAAAGAGGATAGGAGGTTAAAAAGGATGTCTCTATGGGGAGATGGAGTGGAACAATGAAAAAGGAGATGAGAAAAATCACGAATGGCTGGTAAATCATGCAAGGTACAATGAGGAGAGGAGTTCAAAGAGATATTATTTTAATCTTAATATTGAAATATTGTTGACGTGTGATGTAATACAGATTTAGGTATTACCTCTATGGCCTATTAGTTTATACATTTTCGTTTTCCAAAATATGTTCTACACACATATAAGTAAGAGCTGTAAAAATGTCAGAATTTTTGGTTCATGTGATAAAAAGTGTTAGGCTCTTCAATACAGCACTTTTCAATAAAACGACAAGTATAGTATGATGTATGAGAATAAAAAAAAAAAAAGTTTTGAAATGTTGACCTTAAGTCGGTAAAAAAATTGAATGAAATTCATAAAAATGTTGAATTTGTGTTTCAATTTTTAAGTACTTAAATATTTGAGAAAAAAAAATTGTTCAAGTATATTATGAAAAAGAACACTTCAATTAAAATTGTTCAGTGAAATTTCCATTACGATATCGTAATTAGTCGTTAAGTAACGTGATCGTGAACAAATTTTCGGAATATAGCATTGCCCAAGTCCAAAAAAAATTGTTTAAAAAATGTTTTCTTCACTTTTCTGATTTCATGGAACTATCTGCATAGAATATGTAAATTTGAGGCATTTCAAAAATCCACTCGCACACACGTCCGGTGTGGATTTCTCAGTTTCATTGCTCCAAATTATTTTTATTCTATTATATTATCATGTTTATTTCGTATCGTGATGGTTTTTGTAAAAAAAGTCTATGTCGCGTATCATTTTTGCATGATTAATTTTATACAGTCAATAAAGTCGGAAGTATTCATTTGGTGTTTGGGTTTTTTCTAGTCAATCGGAACACAATTGTGTGCGCGGTGTGTGTTACCATCGCCAAATGTCTCGGTCCGTTTGATCAATGTTCTTGATTTGTAATTTTAGGTTGTGGGCGCATGGGTCTCGACGACAGGATAGCCGGAGGAACGCAAGTGGAATACGCTCATAAATATCCTTGGATGGGTTTGCTGTTGCTGAAGGGCGACTTTCTTTGCGGCGCTTCGTTAATCAACGACAAATACGTACTGACTGCGGCCCATTGTGTAAGGTGAATTTTTTTGGTCAGACCTATTGTCGACACATGAAAAAACCACCACCTCCTCGTCTCCGCTCAAATACAATGTCTCTAACATTGCGACTTAACTTTTCGAGTTTTGATTTGCAGTTCTTCGCGAGCGAGCGATTACAAAGTACAGCTCTCGGTACACCATCGCGACACGGACGTCTTCGAGGAATACAATGTAAATGAAATAATAAGGCACGAACGATTCGTCGACGACGGTGGATTTTCCAACGACATAGCCCTTTTTCGGTTGGACACCGACGGTGTAAAAACGATGAACGGAAACGTTCGTCCGGTTTGCATGCCGGAAAAAGGTATTGGCAATATCCGACTGTAGGTTTGCAATCGAACGACAGTCCGCTTGGATTGGTATTAAATAAAACCTTGTTTGTCGCTGCTGCTTCGTAGACAACAGTTATGCCAACTCGGTAGCAGTGTCCGCCGGATGGGGAGTGATGGAATTCGGTGATCGATATTTTCCGGATGTCTTGCGCGAAGCCCAACTACAAGTGCTCAGCAACGACGAGTGTCGGCCGTATTTTTACAGATTGATAAACCTCACCGAGAGCATGGTGTGCGCAGGACTGGAGCACCAGGGCAAAACCACATGCAGAGTGAGTATAATAGCTGTTATATATATATATATTTCAACACTTAGGTTTTTTCTAGACTTGTCGGATGACGTTTGATCGCGGTCGAGGTGTCGTTTTACACAAGGCAACTTCTGACGCTTTATACCGTTCTGGCGGCAAGACCCAATTGGGAGGGTGGGGCGAAGGGTTGTCGTTGTCATTTTCTAGACTACTTTTTCACACCTAAGTGTCAAACGAATACAAAATATAAACACTGCATTAGTAGTCTTATAATGAAAAAAAATATACATATTTCGGTTTGTTTTGGCAAGTGGAGCAGCAAGTTATATTCGTTGAATTGCAATTACTGTAGTGAATTTAAACAAAACGATTTTACGGTAGGTGTCATTTTAAAGGGTAAATGTTGAAGATGACTTTTACAAGTCAAATTTTAACCTAAATATTTAATTCATCCAGTGAGTATAGAACAAAAATAGTGTACCTAGTGAAAACTGGTTTGTAACGGAATAAGTAATTTTCGTGTTATTCGCTTTTTAAATTATGTACAAACTATGTGGATGGAAATAGTATTCTAGCGTTCTATCGCCTCATAGAGAACATTAAACTAAATTTTATCATTTATTGGACATTTTTTTTTTTTTTTAGCTAAAATCAATAGAAAAAAATGTTGTGCAGGCGTTAAAAGGCAAATTTTCGATTAAGCTAGATCAATTCGATTTATAGTTAGAAAGACAAATTAAAAAAAAATGAATTATACACACTTCTACAGCAGGGGCTTTGAATCTTTGCCTGGTGGGGGGGGGATGAGGGGCAATATTTTTTGGTACATAAACATACTCAGACTATAATATAAAACCCTTTAAGACCGCCCATGTCAGCACGAGTAGTTCAGGCGTGGAAATGCATTTTTCCACCAACAGTTAACATTAAAAATAAAATTGTATGCGCAGGGCGACAGTGGCGGGCCTTTGACAGTGGCTAACGGTTCAGTTCATCATCTTGTCGGTAAGATCACACAGATAATTGCGTTTTGACAATAATAGAGTGTTGTCGGTTATTTTCAATTTGTCGACACCATTGTAATGTGCATTTTTAGGTATCGCCTCTTTCGGTAAAGACGGGTGCCAAAGACCTCCGTCGGTGTACACTAGAGTTTCCGAGTACTTGGATTGGATAGATGCAAACACAAAGGACGCCTGTCCGTGTCCCAAATAGTTAGACCGACAATCAGACGGGAATTGATTAAAATCACAACTTTTGTAAAAAAAAAAAAAAATCAGCCGTTTAAATTTCTATTCAAATACAAAGAAATTCTTTAGTTTTTTTTTTTTACCAAACCGTACAATTTTATAAACACTTATGAACACGGTGCACAGCAAAGCCAACATTTTGAAATACACAATTTAGTAAAGTACATTTTTTAATAAAAATATTTTATCTCACATTGACCGCTCTGTATGAACAAACAGAAATTTCAACAATTTAATCATTGTTATGGCGATATTGTGTTCAAAATCGCAAAAGTTGTTACCCCCCAAAAAAAAGTAATCACTAATCATTAAACAACAATATAATGTAAAAATATATTTCAGAAACCTATCAGTTGAATGTTTATCGATTGATTGGGGATTTGTATAGTTAACACGAGAGAAACGATAAGTCCTAACAATAAAACTATTTATGAATTGGCATTCTTCAAAAAATGAGCATCGAATAAGGAAATTGCTAAATACCTACCTAGCCTAAATGGCTGTCTCGGTTTATTTTTGGAATTTTTTCCTTTTTCCATTTACCTGTTCAATTATGATTACATATTGTACAAGTGAATTAAAACATGCTGACTGTAATTTAATTTAAACGTGACTATGTACAGTTATATCTACAGTAACTGATATAATGTTTTAATCGACTATTGAGTCATTTTAAATTACTGTTAAGATACATTAAAAAAAATTAAATTACCAAAAGCAAGTACCTTATAAATTAATGATGTCGAAACGTGACAAACTGAAGGTTACACAAGGACAGTAAAATTATTTTAAAAAAAAGGCTCCAAGTTAATATCCATAAAGACTACTGACTACATCAAATCTACATAACAACTGATCCATTTGATATTCCATATCCCTCTTTGTCTTGAAAATGGAATCGTATACAAAATAATAGCATATATTATTATTGATGCAATAAATAGACAAAAATAATATAACTTCATCCTTGCAAAACATGATTGGATAGGCTACACGTGTTGTATACTAATTAACAAGATATTTATCGATTTCGTTTTATTACAATTGCATTCGAATTAAGATTATGGGCCGCAGTAATAATTGTTTTTCCACTTAAGGTAACCTAAATTATCTTAAACGAGGTTAAAAAAATTATTTCAAAATTATTACCGTAGGCTGCCTATAAATAAAAGAAGATTACTCTTAAGGTATCCAATTAGTGTGTAGACCAATCTATACCTGATAGGTGTAAATCTCCTACTTGACAAAGGGGTTAGATGATAAATTAGTAGCTTTTTTTTTTGTAGTACAACGTTTAAAAAAAATGTTATAATTAAAATTGGATAAATATGATATCTAAAACTAAACTAGATATTGAAGTACACGAAAAGAGTAAAACTAACGGTCATCTTTCTGATTTATTTTTTGGGGAAAAATTTTAATAATCGGCTTAGAAACTTACTTATAAAATTGAACAAACTGACATACCTATACTGCTCTACATCACACATAGCAGTATCAAATCGATTCAGATACGTCTCATTAATAAAACAGTACCAATATTTTAATTATACTTGTTCAATTTTGTGTTTTCAAATATATGTATCAAAGAAGATACACTGCCAGAAGATCTTGCTTCTGTTAATATTAAAAACTGCTGGATATTCTTTAATAGGAACAATCAATAATTCAGTGTTGAATGTCAACGTGCATCACATTTATCTTATAGATATCCGTGGTATACATATATTTTTAATATCTAAAACCATCTATGGCATCCCATGATATTTTGTTTAATAGACTAACATGCAACAGAATTGTATCAATTTGTCTAAAAAGTTTTTTTTTTACCAAGCATATAATATATTAGTATCATAACGTTGACACAAAAGATTGGTATTTTCAAATTAGGTAAGCACTAAGATTTATTTAGGTATTTTACTTTGTCTTTTTCTTGGCAAAACAAGAAGAAACTGTTGTCTAAAACAATTACAGGTATGTCATGCAAAATATATCCTCAATTTATATATATATATATTACATTATATGAAATCAATAAAAAAAAACCTATAAATATTAACATAAGTATGTTAAGTATGACAATCGAGAAGTAAAAAAAATAATACTCATTTTCTCGAAAAATATGAATATTTAGGCAATCGTTTTTTTTTTCTATACTATTGTACATAGGTACATAATATTATTTCACTATACATTTCAATACTTTATTGTTCTATGACTTTGCAAAAATATTACATTTCCGAAAACCAGTAGCCGTCACGGTGTAAGTGTAGAAAACGAATGTCTTACATCAGACGGGTCACCCTGTATAGATTTCATTGTCGTTCTGTTATATAGAGTCTGAGTTCACCCGAAGATCATGGAAAAACTGATGCTGGTCAACTCTTACCTGAGAGAAATAAACGAAACGAACACGGTGAAAATTCAGCGTTTAGTCTTTCAGATAAACGACATGAAATCTCACGCTGGAGACTCGAAGCAGCCCGGGGAAAACCTGGATCGGATGAAACCACAGTCGGACAGGTGCCTTGCCGTGGAAAGAGACCCGATGTGCTCCGAAGAGACTTGCTGCAAAGAGCTCAAAACCAAATGGGACGCTGAGGTGCAGCACATGTTCGACGTTTTCTGCGGCCACTACGAGAACCTGAGTTCTCTGGTGGAGCAGACCGTGATGAAAGTCACCGAGCTGGAGGAAGCCGTGCAAGAGCTGTCGGTCAAAAGCCAATTGCCGGAAGCTCAAAGGCTCCTGCTTGAGAGCAAACCGACCGAATTGGAAGCCCAACTGCAGGCCACGACGAAGGTGCTGAACACGCGAGAGAGGGAAAACGGAGAGCTGCGTTTGATTTTGCTGGAATACCAAAAGGACAAGGAAAGGATCGGGGAGGATCACCGGCTCGGGATGGTTCGAAGGCTTGAAGACGGCCAAGAAGACAACGGCGTCGCAGCAGCAACGCCAAGCAAGTCCAAGCCGATCGAGACTTACCAGGAGCTGGAGCAAACGGTGGATAGCAGAGTGGCCGAATTGGAAGCCCGACTGCAGGCCACGACGGAGGCTTTGCTGGAAAACGAAAAAGACAAGGAGATGATTTACTGCGAGGTGGTTTTTTATGCCGACCAGCTGACCCGCATCAAGGAGCACCACAGTGTGGAGATATCTGAGCTCACCGATCAGCTACAGCGGTACAGGAAACGGGAAGAAGACCGTATTTTGCAGACGGATCTCGACAAACGGGATGACGACAATTATTGCTCATCGTGACTGCGATGTCTGGACATTTTCCCCCGAATTCTTTCAAATTTCACTAAAAAAACCACAGGAAATTTGACGGTTTTAATAAAACCAAAAAAAAGAGCACAGGTTTTACTTTTTGTGTAGTCCGACACACGTCAATAGACCACTACGTTTCCATAAGTAAACTCAATTGTCACCAACTATTTTTAATAGCTAAAAAAAAAAACACCACAAGTTGTGTTTTACAAGTCAATTTTTCATTTTGACCTCGTAAATCTGTACCTAATGTATAAAATGTACAAATTTTGTATTTATTAAATATAATTGTTTTTGAAAATCATACATACATGTATTTATTTCACTAGTCACTAGTGTTCTATTCAACCGCAATTTAAGATTACTTTTGAACGACAGGCGTAGGCGATTGACAATATATTGCAAAACTAATTTGGATTACATATTTTGATATAATGAAGTCCATAACCTGTTGCTCGAATATAATTACACTACACTTATATGCATACGCCATGTGCTCCAATTTTACAGTCTATTCGGTCGAATTGCAAAATTATAAGCAAATCACGTTGGACAGTGATAATTAATTAATTTAAAAAAATATATAATAAATATTAGAGGCGAACATTTTTTTTACACATGGCTGTAGATAAAACTAGAAAATATATTCTAACTTTTGTTCTAGTGAATATTTTTAAGATTTATTTTTTAAAATTAATTTAGTCTCATTTGCGCTATAAGCTAAACTGTTTTACTTCTTTAAATTATTTTGTTTTAAATACAAGATGCCATTTTATTGAGAATAATTTTCTGAGAATTTTGACCGGTCCACAACTAGTTTTGGACAATTACTTTAAAGTTATTCAGGTTTAAGGTGTAGGAAAATTCTCAGCATATTATTCTCAATAAAATGGCTCGAATTAATAAAAAAAAAAATGTAACAAATAAAAAAAAAAATTTTTAAAAATTGCCAAGTGCAATAAAAAACGTTGTTTCTTTTTGCGCAAATTAGTATACATTAATTTTAAAAAATAAATCTTAAAAATATTCACTAGAACAAAATTGTTTTGTTAAAGTTTTGATATTTTTAACAATAGGACTTTTACCTATGAAAATTGCCTATACCCAACTCCTTAATAAATAGCAGTACGACGTCCCCTTAAGGGGATCGCATGCGGTTGGTTTTTAAGGAGTTTTGTATAGGCAATATTTAGGAAAAAAGTGGTTTTAATAAATTTCAATAACGTCAATTAATTTACCGGTTAATTTGTATAAGCTTAATGGTATTATTTTTAATTTAAATTATTTTGTCTATGAGTAAAAACCATTTTAGGTAATATAACATAAATTTTTTGTTCCATCGCACAGGCTAAACCGGTATAAGCAATCGGCTGATCCGATAAGTAATCTGAAAACGGATTTGAATTCGTCATGAAGTTTACTTATTATCGGTCAGGGTACTTTTTCGATATCTTATCCCTACTACGTATAAGACACGTTTGAACATTATATAAAATTTCAAATTTTAAAATCAAAACCGACCGCGTGCAGTCCCCATAAAAGGGCGTCGCACCGCTCATTTTTAAGGAGTAAAGTATAGGCAATTTTCTTACAAAATCTTAATTTAAAAGTTAAACTGTGATGTGTAATTATTAGTTCGATAATTAAGACTCTATTTTGGTAGTTGGTTTATTTTTTGGACTATCACAGCATCCTTGAAAGCGGTTTAGAAATGTTTTTTCATCTCTACTTGTTTAAGCAAGACTGCAAATAACTCGCTTGATTTTGGATCTAGAGTAAAAGCACCCGTTGTAAAATTAAAAGAGAACAATATTCCGGAGGGCAAGACGGTGCGTTTTTTCCCATTATTCTAGCGCTCAACGCATAGTTTAGAAATGACGACTATTTGAACACTGTTTCAATCACTGTAACTTTGGAAAAAATGAATTCGGGTGCTTTTACTGTAACGCCAAAATTAAGAGCGTTTTTTTTTCGGTCTGCTTAAACACGTTTTTACCACTGAAAAAACCGACCGCGTGCTATCCCCTTTTTAAGAAAAACAAATACTTCTCACTAACCACTTGGCCGCCTTGGTCTTTCACCGGTTCGCCGATGGGCGGGCGCCGCCGCCGCCGGTGGGAAAAGAAAACGACAGTCGCTTCTCACATCGGTTTTTCGGTCGTTTAATGAGAAAGACAGACAGACAGCTGCTGCGGGCGGAGTGGGGTCGGCGTCGAGAGAAATATATATATAATTATTTCTCACTTTCCGTCCTGTCCGTTTCCGCAGTTCCGTCGCTTCGTCCGACGCCACCGGTTAGCAGCACAACGAACACACTCGGCGCACACGTTTACCTGAGAAAATTTTTCAAACAAAAACTTAATAATATTAATTTTTTTTTTTTTCTAAAGAAAATTTCGAAAAAACGTAGTTTTTTTTTTTTTTTTTGCAATCGATCTACTCAAACACTACCTATTTGTTTTTCTCTATTTTTTAACGTTTTCACATTAAACTATTACGTTCGACGGTCGCGGACGGGATCACCCGAAAGCAGCCGAAAAAAAAAACAATGAAAACGGCCGTCGTCAGACGGCGCCGCCGGCTATCGTTTACTACGCCGGTGACGCTGTCCTTTGCCGTCGTCGTCGCGGCCGTCGCCGCTTGTCGCGTCGGCGGAGCTTTCGGCATCACCACCACCAAACTGCTGCAGTCCGCCATCGGGCATCACCATCAAAACGACAGTGGCGATACTCACCAGGTAATTGGCCCGTTCGGAATCACCTAAAACGATGCGCTTTTATGCACTTGAAAATATTATGCACTCGGTATTTTCAAAAAATACGCGTTTACCAAAATAATATGTAAATATGTGCAAATGTAACTTTTTTTTCATATACAGATATATACATATATATATATATATATATATATATTTCATACTATATTACATAAAAAATATTACTTAAAAAACCTAAAAAATATATTCAAAAATATGCATTTGTATAGGTAGCTTGTTTTTTCATACAAGTATATATTTCACCCTTTGGCCAAAACGCTATTTTAAAATCATAATTCATAACATAATAATGTAACTCTTAAAAAAAAAATACCATTAAAAAATGTCCCATAAGGTAAACGAGACAAAATTCTCAAAAAAAAAAAATGATATTATATTTTTAATAAAATTATTTGCTTGTTATAAATATTAAATGTCGATTTAAATACAATTAAAAAAAACCCTTAAACAATAATAATTTATACACTTGAAAAACCTTTTAGACGTGCACTTGAAATTATAAAATAACATGAAAAATTATGTGATGTCTCAAAACACAACTTTATTTCTGTCTTTTTTTAATACACCGTTCAAGAAAAAAACCTAAATTAGTATGTCTTTTTGCGCTTAAGAACGCACTTTTTTTCATCCAAATAATCCATACACGAGTCGAAATGTCCTTTTTGAAACATAATTCAAAATATTACATTTTAGCTCTACACTTGAAAAAAATCCATTATTAAGTGTGTAATAAAGAAACACTAATAAGAATTACTGTCACGCAGTTGGTTTTGGTTAATATTCAATGAAATAATACATTTTATTACTTAAGGTACACTAAAAAACAAAAATAATTTTACTTAAAACTTCTATACTATCCTCATAGAGTAATAAATCCGAGAGGTTCTCTTTGGTTAATGTCTAGAAACTTAAAAAGTTCTTCCACAAGTAGAAATGTTTTAAAAACCACTTAAAAGTCCAACTTTGTTATGAATTTAATGGCAAAACCATTTTACTAGCAATTTTTAAGTACTTGCCATCGATCGATATTATTAGTCAGAAATATTGAATTTAAAATACTTAACTTTTGGAGAGGAGGTATTGTAAAATAGGATACATTTTCTTTTCTAGGTTTATATAAGGGGTTAAATTTATATTTTCTGATAATATGGTATAACATTAATATGTGTTAGATCAAAAATATATGAAAATGTAGAAAACTTGTTTCATTATCCACAAAAAAAAAAAATTGTATTTTTAAGGATTTAAGCGGTGCTCGAGTAAAACGTATCAAGTCCAAAAATTATACACCTAAATGGTTTTGAATACTTAATCTGCATATGCGAAAATTGCTTTGTAAAATAATAGTTTTATTGCTATTCATTTTGGACCTTCCACTCGAGCACCGCAGAATTAACCTAGTCAGTAGAAGTGCACAAAACAAATTTATGAACCGCAAACTCATATTAATAATATAACATAATGTGAATCACACATAAACTTCTGTTTTATATTTTTTGAATGGCAAAACAAAATGAGGTCCGTCTATGAAATTTATGAACCGTGCCAATCTTAAAAGATTTCAGTAGCAGCTAATTACAACGTTTTTTTTCTTAATAATTAAACGAAAAAGGATATAAACATAAGAAAATATTTATATTATGGTGATAATGTTTACCTGGTAAGAACAAAATAGAAACTGTCGGGTCAATGTATTTGCATCATAAACACACAATGGGTAGGTAGAAAATTGTAGGCAATTTTTTTTTATTGCAATATAAAATTATCCATCATTATCCGTGTGTATATATTTTATTATATCTGTGTAAATATTACTAAACATTATATTATTATGGACAAATATGCGGTTATGACAAATAAACCAAAATCTGAAACAAATTGATCTCGTTTCGGTCTATTATTATTATTATTATTATTATATTTTATCGCAGAATAAACTATGCAAATGTGGCAGCACATTTGATTATTATTATACATTAGCCGTTAATAATAATAATATTTGTGAATGTCTTCGAAATTGGCGTTGACAATAAAAAAAAAACCGGATATGCGCACACACATACAATACAATACAATATTAATTTTGTACACAAACAAATTATTTATATTATCACGTTATACACACACTTAAGATGCAATCAAATAAATTACAATATAATATAATATCCACTTGTTTTTGATTTGTCTAGTCGATTGCATAAAACGAAAAACTTTCATTTTTTTTCGTTTGTGCATAAGAAAGTGTTATGATATATTTTTAAAAAAACACACACATTTTCTAAGTCTAATCAGCTTATCTCGACGTTTTTGAGTTATTCCACATGTTGAATAACTATTTGAAATCTGCACTTCTCCAGACAAGGTCAAGAAGTTGTTGACCAAAATTAGAAAACGACCGACTATACTCAAAAAATATTTCATAATCTTTACCTGTGTTTATCAAATCGTTGTAATACTTAATTTCAGTAGAATATATTAAAATGGAGATATGTCTAATTTGTGATACAAATTATTATACTATTTTTACTGTTAACCTACTATTTGCATAAGTATATTTTTTATTAAAAATAAAAACTAACTTACCTTTGTGGATTACAGATTTACACGAAGTTTTTGACTTTTAACGGAAAATATTTAATTTTAAAAATGTTATCATATTAATTCTTATCATACCGTTAATTGATAACAAAATAAATCACTGGATTTTCATGGAATAAACAATAAACCGTGTCTTATCAATTACTTAGGTAGTTAAATATCACACTTAGTAATTCTATTACTTAACTTAAGTTTTACTTGAGTAAATATTGAGCCCTTAGGGCTTAGGGTCCGTGACCATTGTTATATTTATTTAAATTGGACATAATATTTGTACATAATATGTGTGAAAAAAAAATTACCAGCTGTAAACCTCTTTATAAAATAAAAAACAATTTTAAAAAACCAGTACAATCTATTAGCTAATTTAATTTGTCCTCAACCCAGATGTTTAATATTATGTTGAGTGTCCAACAAGTCCAAATAATTAATTGCACATGAATCGTTGCAGAAATGATTAATAATTGATAGTTTCTATACTGGCATATCCAGTTCCATGATAATTACCTAAGAGCAAACAAGTCGATACCAATGTGTACGCCAATAATAATAATAATAATAATATAGATTTTGATGAGCTTCTGACGCTTCAATTTCTATTTAGAAAATTAACTGACATGAAGACAGGTAATTATTACTATGACCGTTTAAAGTTTCCAATAGTTGTCTAACAATCTGACCGCAACACTAATAATTGTAAAAGTAAATCAATTATTACTGTCATTATTAAAGCCTAGAGTAGTCACGATTTTGAAATATTTCAACCAGATTTACTTACCTTTTTTTTTTTCTAGGTCTATTTTTTATACTAAGATAATGCTAGAAGAAAAAAAAAATGTCACGTTTTATCCATTACCGGTGCATAATATTTTTAATACCTATTAATAGTGTATGATTGACATTCTCTTGGAGGACCGTAATAAAAAACCGTACTGTCTTTTACATAATAAATATTTTTAACAAACACAAATCAATAATAATACAATATACCGAGTTGAGTTGTTTTTGCAGCGATTTAAATTTCCCATTGTCCATATTTTGTATTATAATTGCTGTATTTTGATCTTGAACAATTACCCTTAAGCAAACTGACCATTTAAATACTATTTTTTTTTTTTTACTGATTATTAAGTATAATTTTTCATCATTGCATAAAATAAATAATTGATTGATTTAATAATCATTGCAGTTTTGTAGTTTTTACACTTCGTTTTATTATATTTTAAAATATTAGACAATTTTTATCTTTTTAATTTTTTTCCAAAGCTCTAATAAGTTTTAATTTTCAAAACTGAAATAGTAACGTATAGAGTTCAATCGCCTTTTTTAATTAAAAATAATTTACTGAATGACTTTTTTATAGCTGTTAATAAGAGTTTAATATCCAAAACTGCGTTTTTTTGACCGGACAAAATGTTCAGTCAATTTTTTTTTTAAATTTAAAATTGTGATTGAATGTAAACGTTACCGTTTGAGTTTCAAAATTTGATAAGCCTTCAAAATGAAAACTACAACGTTGCAAATAGGTATTTTTAAGTGTAAAAAATGAGTGACCTAACCCAACGTGTAACGTAACCGACTTGTTTATTTTTGAAATAAACTGTATAATAAATTGTTTGGAATTGCCAAAATAACATGTGAGATCTCAGATCCGATAATTAGTCGACCGTTTTTTTTTTTAATTGCCCACATTGTGTTTGGCATATAATTTTCGACAATACTATATTATATTCGAATACTAATTGCGTTAATTGTGAAACTCACACGGGCCAATTAAAACGGGTTTAATTATGTTTATTTTTATCAGAAAATCTCTAAAATATGCAGTTTTCTCTGAGACCTCCCATTTAGATCCCACGTTACGTGGTAAACGTGTTTTACTTTGTAACGTTTCGGAATAAATTATCACATATTTTAATAGTGTTTTGTCATCATCTAATAAAATGCGTAACACAGAAGTCGGACACGCTCATTTGTATTCAATGTTGGTTTTCGAATAGAGCAATAAAATTATAATAAAAAAAAAAAAAATGTTAAAAAACTTGATCCACGTTGCGCAGATTATCTTGTTGTTACAAAAAATATTACACTGTACAAAATATGTAGGTGTTAATATATTTAAATAGAGGTTTTTTTGGATATATAACTAGAATATGTTGTATATTATTTTATTTACATTAGACTTTAACCTAATTTCTACTAATTCTAGTAACACACTATAATATTATGTGTACAATATTTTACAAGTGGACACACACATACACATCATACATTTCCCAAGTCACTCTAAGTCTAATAAACAAACGTTGAAAACATAATATTTACCTGGAATAATTCAAACAGTTAAAATCTTATAATAAATT